TCGCGACGTCATGTTCAGTTTCCTTAATGTTTTCTTGTTTGGTGTGGCCGATTAGATTCAGCTCTTCTTGGGATTTGCTGCTGTCAGGTCCCTTTCTTCATTCTTTCTAGTCCCACGGTTTTAAGTAATGACGACTTTCTACGCCTGCAGTAGAGCAGCACCGTTTTACACACTTTATTAGTTCTAGAGAATATTTCTTCGGAGCCGATGGCGTGCGGCAAAGCCCCTATAACGAAGACAAGCTACCTCAATTTCAGTGAAGGTTTGTTGTCGCTTTTCTCAATTGGACGTCATTTGCTTCTTAATATTTTGCCATCAGAAGTTAGTTGAAGTCACTGCAAAGTGTTAAGGAGAGTTTAAGAAAAAGATGGAGGTTTTTTTTTAAGTATTGACGTGGAATTATTTTACTTTTAGAAAAATTACTTAAGTTTCTGAATTAATAAAGAATCTACAATAATGGATAAGCGCTGCATTTCAAGAAACATATTTTGATATATTTTGCGACGTTTTGCATAAACTTGTTTGTTGGTAAATATTTTGTAAATATGTCTTTAAAACGTGTTTATTTTACGTGTATCGTAATGTTTTGTTGCATACAAATATCTAATTTCAATTTTTAGTATTTTGTGTGCATGTTGTAAATTGTCTATAAAATAAATGAATTTCTTTTTAACCATGTGCCTGCTTTGGTGTGTGACATTGGCGGCTGTGCAAATTACCATAGTAAAATCCCAGCAATGTCCACGTCTCGAGCTTCTTAATTTTATATCGCTGAGAAAAAGTCAGTATTGGCGTTCACATATCGCTAAATGCTTCTCTCAAGAACATGGCTTTCACATATATTACAGAAACACCAAAACTATAAGCCGGTCAGTCATTGCACCATCTGACGTGGAAATAGCCAGATGCAAGCGTTTCGGTTTCCTTTTTATTTAAGCGCTCAAAAGCTCCTTTTAGATAAATATATCTAGTTTACTCATTTCTTCAAATAAAACAATGCCCCAGCCTTGCGATCCTATTCAGACTCGTAAAAACCCTCTATTACGAAATCGTATTGAACTATTTCCGGCGTCGCTGTGCAACTGGCCATTAGAAAGGTACTATACTCGCCGGTCCCCAGTTTGAATACGTAACTACGTCATCGATCCGGATATGTGCACCTTCTTCTCTGAGCCACAATAATGCAGTGTCACAAAAAAGAGACAATTCACAAGGCAAGCGTTTGTTTTTATTTCATCTCTGACCCTTGAGCCGGAGACAGGCAGTAATGCAGCGCTAATAAAACAGTAGTGAGCGGTTGTCGTGCCTATTGAGGGTGACCGAGATGCACGAGATGCAGTTTGCTCGCCAGTACCTCAAACTACAAGCCGCGAACGCACATCGAACGTTTGTACATCCCACGTACCTGCACGCACACTGAATACGGCGTGCCATATGTGTGTATATAGTATATATTTATATATATATGTATACGTGTATATAGATATCTCTATGCAGGTGCAACGTATCCACCCACAGGTATGTCTCCATTGAGCTTCTGGTGTGTCTGTGTTTCTTTCTCTATGTCGTGTCGTCGGGTTGGCCGCCATGCGATGATGCCTCCACTTACGGTCTCAAGGGCTACTCCAACAACGCGGGTATAGGCTCTGAATGGAATATATATTAAAGTTCTAGATGAAGACATGCTTGACCGATATACAGCAATTCATGTATATAACGTAGCGGTGGCTGCGGAGTGGCACATTAGCAGCTGCTGTTCCCTTCAAAACACGGGCTCATGCACAAGCGCAGGGCCCAGAGTTGCTGTGGGCAGCCGGGCTTGTTTATAGACATCGAGTTGGCCTATTCTAACCAAAACCCAAACATCTGATCACAGTATCACACAAACATTACATGTTTTATGCTGAGTCACCGGCAGCCCGCCACGAATTTTTGCACTATTAATTAATAGGTGAACAACTCTTAGAGTCGAGAACAAACCTTCGACGAAACCAACCAGAGAAATCTCATTTCTAACTAACGACATGGAAGTAGTGCTACAAAGCTTGGCGCATTCATATAGAATAGTGCTGTAGAGTGAGCGACGAATCTGTGCTGTAATTACTTTCAGCAAAGCCAGACTTACAAAATCATCGGGTGGACTGGAAACGGGAGAGGTACGAATACCCTTTTAGTGTGAACTTGAAAAGGGGGAGGGGGGGGGGGGGGGGGAGGTGCACGATAATTGACGTTGATCACGGAGGTCGAGTTTGGGAATTCAGAGTATAATATTAGGATTGGGCTTTCTCGTCGGGCTGCTACCCCATTCTAAGAAAATGTGTCTGATGTCCCCTTTTTTTGGAGAACGCGGAGACCGCCAATTTTTGTGTATAATAAAACAATTCCAGCGAATGAAGAAGCACAGAATACGATCAGACAATGAGCCAATGAAGCGTCACGCTCGATGTACCTCGCTTTTTCGGGATCTCATCGTATTTTGAGTTCTTTCGTTCTGTGGAAATTGTTTTATTATTAGCCGTGATCGGCTTCCTTCGTGTTCTGCACTAAAGGTAACTCATTTACGTTTTTTGAGAGTGCACCAAGAAAAAGGCTTTCTCTCTTTTTCCGATTTTCAACTGCCGACTGGCCTTTGAGCAGGAAACAACATTCAATATCACAAACGTTTGTGACAAGACAACAAGATAACAGACAATGACAAACTGCAAAGCCTAAGACGTCGTAGCTTTTGTTTTGAGCCTTTGCAAAAAAGATGTCGTTCCTTTCTTCGTGCTCGTGCATGCTTGCTATTTCAAGTCCCGTTGAAAAGTTGGAGTAGCCCTCCTCACGAAAAAGCAAAAAAGAAAACAAATTCACGTTCACATTCTCGGATAAGGCAGCAAGCTATGCTGTCCCAGATAACCTATCGACGGATTTATCCGCCTACTTATTTAACTACGAAGCGCGTATACGTCTCAAGAGAATCACCGCGTCGGATGCAGCAGCTTTACGATGATTGCACTATATCTGTGCTACTTTGGTGGCTGCTAGGCATCCTGAAAGCAGGATCGTACAGTGCTAATCACACTTGTCTATAACGCGCGAGCGTGCGGCTTTCTCCGGGGAGCGCTAGACTGGTGGCATTCGCGGAACCTAAGCTAGTCACGTGGTGCGACATGGAACGGCCCGCTCAAGGGGTGTCCTGCCCACTCTATCAGCTTGATAAGCGACAAAAGTAAAGTGCTTTATGATATAATTTTGTTTTTTGATGACGACATCGTTGATACGCCTTCATGCTTTAGTTTGTTTATTGTTCGAGCAATGATATTTGTAAAAAGCGTGCGAGCAGCCTTCCGTGTTCGCCGCCAGCTGATAGAGTGGGCAGGACACCCCTCGAGCGGGCCGTTTCATGTTGCGCCACGTGACTAGCTTAGTTTCCGCGAACGCCACCAGTCTAGCGCTCCCCGGAGAAAGCCGCACGCTCGCGCGTTATAGACAAGTGTGATTAGCACTGTACATAACGCCGTACTGGCCCACGTTTGAGCACACCGTGTGGCCGAGCTAACTCGTATATCAGGGAAGCGTCCATAGGAATGAAGGGCCACTCCAGCCAAACAAGATAATTCTTTCTGTTTAGTTTGATCACGAGACATAAAACACTGGAAGGTCTCTCGATGAACCTTTTAGCTTGTATCTAATGAACAATGTAAGAGAATCGTAATAGGGAAGGTGGCGTATTTCGTCGTACCTTCTCCAGAAGCATTCTGGGACGCCACATCACAGATATGACGTCAAAAACAGATTTCACAAACGTCCCACTTTCTTGAGTTGAGTTGAGTCGTTTGAGTTGCCGTAGCAAATACCTTACTGCGAGCACAGCTTTCTCCGCGACTATCCAATGGCCTCGGTGCCGACAACTTTTGCGTAGTTGGAACGACTAGACGCGCGTAGTCTCGGGGTTTCTTCCTCTGACTTGGGAGGGATGAATGCCGCCATCTACTGTCATGGAAACCACTCGAGACAGCGGAGACATACTTCTCCGGTGTCTCGGCAAGTTCGATATATCGGTGAGTTGGCGGCAACCCTCTCCCTCGGCGTAGCGTGACAACGTGAACAGCCAACACCTCCTAGAAGAGAAGGCCGTAGCGCTCCGAAGGGTTACGTCGCGATGTCGGAGAAGGAAGTCCATAGCGCAACTACGTGAAAAATATTTCTGGCATCGACGTGAAAAAAACGTTTCTTGTCGAGCGGCGCGGGGTGTTCGTGAGCGTTTATCCGACACTAATATATGTTTTCAAAGCGGAGTATTGTACAATTTATTATATATATAATATAAACATATTATACAACGTGATACCAACGTTAAAAGTACCAATTTTATATTTATGATTATCCCCGTAACCGCGGGACTACGTGCAATCCCGCAGATGCCCACACGTTTCGAATGAACCGGTCCGCTGCGACGTTTTCTTTCCTTGTACGAGAACAAATTTACGTTGTGTGTGAGCTGCTGCCTGTCTAAAAAGGAACGCTGAGACTTTTAGAAGGGAAGGGAACCGAAAGAAATCCAGTCATCGCCGCAGGGAGCGCACGCAAGAGATCGGTCGACGATGTTAAGCCTCCCACACTGCTGCCGTTGCTCTTTCATGTGTGTGTGTGTGTGTGTTTATGTGTGTGTGTGTGTGTGTGTGTGTGGTTTTGATCCTTACCGTCGTTTCTTGGTCGTCACCGCAGACTCGGGTAGTTTTTTTTTTGTGTTCGCTTGATGCAATGGCATTTACGTGGATTCGCGGAACAAGTCCTGCTAAGGTTTGAATGGCATGTGTGGCAACTAGTCAACGATGACACTGGTCGATTATCGATCGACCTCTCTTTCGACAGAGAGAGACTTAAAGTTCGTGTTCAAATGCTTTCGTCGCGGACATTGTGGGACGTATGGATACGATCGACAGGTGGAAAACAACTTATTTACGGGCTTTCTTGGTCATGTGGGACGCGAGTAAAGTGTTGCATTCAAATTTTTTTTTAATTTTTTTTTTTTTTTTGTGAGATATAGCATTTTTTTGTAGTTATCCACGTGCGGTTGCGTCGACATTTGTAAATATGCGTGGTAATATTCTAGTTTTCACTAGGAAGCAGTTTGTGTGATTATACAAAGTACGTTGTTTGGGCTCATGTGTTTATTTATTCTAATGTTATTTTATTGCCTTTACCGCTTTTATACTAGAATCTTAACTGTATTAAGGTAAAAGTATTATTGTGTACAAAATAATATATTTTGTTCTAAAGCAGCTCGAGCCCATAGGGAGAAGCAAATTAGTTGACCGTAAATAGTAAGTTTACTAAACTTACTATTTACGGTCAACTAATTTGCTTTGCCCTATGGGCTCGAGCTGCCTTGGAACAAAATATCTTACTTTGTTCTGCCACACGGAAAAGTTAATATATCTTCATTAAATGATATGAGACTTAATCAGCTCGCGGTCTTGAGTGATTATACGAGCGTCGCAAGATGATTTATCGACCCCATAATGTCATTCGATTGAAATTAGATTATTTTTGCCATGTGGCCGGTGTATGATGCAAGAATTCAGTGACTGCACGCGATAACATCGCTTACATGATCGTGAGTGGCACTTGTTCGCGTTCGCTACGTCTACCTGATTTTTAACTCTGATCTGTTTTGCTGGGTCCAATCACTGCGTGTCTCGCCATTTTGTCGAAGTATTTCTGTGTAAATTATGCATTCCTAGAGCAATAATTGCATGGCCCAATTTTTTCTCGTATACACCTACCTCGTACCATTTCATACCGATTATTTAGCGGTGTAATATTTTGCCCGTGTAATAACACATTTTCGAGACCCGCTGCTATGTGTAGCTTTCATTTTAGCTAACAAGACACGCGTATGTGACTAAAAACGCGTTACGACGGTCGATCCACGCGCGTTGCCTTCGCTTCGACGCGCGCCCCGATGGCCTTCCTTCGCGACGTCACGAACAGAGCGCTACGGCCTTTTCTTCTAGGAGGTGCTGGAAAAGCGCGACGCGTATGTGTCCTCTGGGACGCGGAGTTTTCCCTCCTCTAGGGTAGGATTTAGCGCTGTAGGCATGCTGTCTAATGCAAATCAGCAGAGTAGAATGTATCTTCCTAGCAAAGCATTTGACCGTCATGAGAATTCCCTTCCGTGATGAAAGGTGAAGGATACGTGTTAAGTGTCTCGTGATTCGGATGTAAGGGTTTTATAAACCAGACGGTGTGTGAGGAAACGTAAACGTGATGCGCGAAATTTCCAACTTCGGAGTGTTGTCAAATCAAATTTGGGAAATTTACGTGCCTGACCAATCAAGAGTATTTCGCACGGCCCAGCGGAGGAGGGAAGCTTAATTTGAACCACCTGGTCTTCTTTTGGCGTGCAACTGAAATCTCAGTTTTATGGTGCCATTGCGGAGTAAGCCTCCGTCAGATTTCGGGCACCTCGGCGATCATTCATATCCATCAACTGGGGATCTGTAGGCCGACGCTTTGCATCCGAGCAACCGTGGCAGCTCTGAGTGAGATGTTGATACTGAATTTTAACTTGAGCCCTTCCAGGTCCCTCTGAGATCTTTAAAATTATAACTTTTCTTGATTTCAAGACTATGACGCGCAATACCTTGTTGTTTTCCGACTGGAGTGGCCCTGTGAGGTTTCTGTTTCCACGGTAATTCGTCAATCGGAGAGTAGCTAACGTTGTCACTGCAGTTGCTAGTTCTGTGCAATGGTCTGTGCAGCAGGTAGGCATTTTAGAGTGGCCAACTATAGGCACTCGAGTACCGTTACCAACATAAAGAAAATTTTTGTATCCTTCTGTAAATATGGCATCGGACATTCCGGCTGAGCAGCTCCACCGTTAATGGTCCGATGATAGTCTGACGCGCTAAACACGAAACAAGAAAAATAAACTATTCCTGAAAGCGAACGCTACTGTAACCGCTTCCTGCGGCGGCGGCAGACAATGAAAGACTCCATGTACGTGTTGTATTGTTTCTCTTGAATCCGAACGGCTCTATCTCTAAAACTAGGGTTTCTGAGCAAGTGGAATTCGAAGACTACGAAGTGAAAGTAACCAGTCAATTTCATCTGAGCTTCTTTTCTCTCTGGTACGTTCGCAGGCTGCTTGAACGCTGAACACCACGATTACAATAATTGCACAACTACAGTCCGGCATTACTTTCTTATCTAGACTTTACAAGACCTTGCCTTTCAAAACTTAGGCGAGTGCTTCATAAATCTTCATTCTTCTCCACCGCAGTGACCGTTACCCACTAGCAAATGTGCACTTTGTCTGGTCGTCACTTAACATTCGTTTACTAAGCGTAGGTTGTGTAAAAGGAAGACCGTTTTGAATCGGGTATTTGTGTCTATCCAACTCCCAATATTTTAAGGTCTGTGTTTCGGGCGAGAACAAAAAGTACCGTGAGTGTTTTTGTTAGTGATTCAAATAAACTTTATAAAAAGCCTCAAATAAAAACAAACTTCTGGCTAAGGACCAGATTTTTTTATGAAAATGTCTTCTGCTATTCCAATAGACTTGTACGCAATGGTGGGATACTCAAAAAGAATGCGCTAAAATAAACACCACCACGTGCCAGCCATGACCTTGAATCGCTCTTCGGGCCAATCACGGAAGACAGTAACCATGACAAGATTTGCGACGTCAGCAGAATTTTGCAGTGCGCAACAGCGTTGGTAGCGGAATATTTGCGTTTCGTGGAGGAACAGTGGCTGGCGGTAATGCGTGTGTGGGATGGGCTTCCGACGCATTCTTAACTTGTATCTGTCTAGTTACACGAGCATTGTCACTGCCATCTCTTATTGAGCAAACGACAGTTAACTCAATTGCAATAGACCGCAATCAAACTGCAGTATTAACTGTCATTCAGCCGCTATTGAAAGTATGGTCAAACTGAGCTCGCTTACCTCAGTTGACTTGAATAGACCTTGTTAATTGTGTTCAAAATTGCGTCGTCCGCGGCATCGCCATCAATTGTCAGGGGTAGCGAAGCATTTACTGTTTTGGAATAGTGAAATGACATCTAAAAAGGATTGTAAAACAAATATTGTTCGATAGGCCATGTTTAGGGGTCTGATCTGCCGGTAAAACGATCTCGGCAGGTGACGGAACGAGCAGAGTTGGAGCTCTTCAGACACAGCCATTGACTGAGATTGATGGCAACGTGGCTTTTCTAGTGTTACTCTTGCTTTCATTCATTTTCTGCGCTTTCGATTCAATTTTTTGTACGGCAAAGATTTGCAGGACGTAATAAACACTTATCAACAAAAATCTGGTTCTCTGATTTATCTAGCTCAATAGTTAAAACACGTCGCACGAGGCTCGATTTTGTTTTTCATTCAACTGGAGCCAAAACAGCCTCGTAGGATCATCTTCCTTCAGATGAGTGTAATCCTAGTTTGTGGTAGCCATCTTCCTTTGCTCCGTGTAACTAGGGCGTTAGTCCGGAAGATTCGGAATATTTTAGGTGAATTGCGGCTAATATGCGAGGCCCCCGGAAGAGTTCTTTCAGACTTCTTACCAGCATTTGTTTCCTCTGTGAATTGTTGTCTTAGTAACGAGCGAATTGATCGAGAGAAAAAAAGGGTTTATTGGCTTAACCGAGCATAATAATGCTGGCTTGCTATCTCTTATATGGCAAGTGGAAAGGATGCCAAAGAAAAAACAGATTTGTGTTAAAAAGAGAGAAAAAAACTCATAAGATAACGCCATTGAATAAAATGAATGTCCCACATAACAGGAGTCACACATAAAATTAAAGTCAAGCATTAACGAAGTCACATGAAATGAAAGTCATGCCGGAAATGAAAGTCAAGTATAAAACAAAACTCACGCATAAATGAAAGGTCACATAAAATAAAAAAATACCTATGAGATAAAAATTCCATACAAGGAAAGACGCACCTAAAATAAAACTAAAGAAATTTGAAAACAAACCCGCCTAAGAGGAAAAAAGACAACTGGTAATAGGATTTGTCTTTTTTTTTTTTTTGTCTCTTCGGCTTTAGGATGTTCTGTCTAGGCTTAATGTCTTTGAAAATTTCGTTGATTCACTGGCGACCACTTTTAGCTTCTTGGGAGGTTTGTGTTCTGTTGTAATAGTATGCTTTGTGCAAACAATGCACTGCCTCTTGATCCTGTGCATATAGTTCGTTCAAACGCTTTAGGCGTTACATGTGTCTAATCTAGCAATCCAAAATAAAATAAATTTTTTAGTCTGAAATAAATAAATAAATTATTGATATGCAGTCATCCATACTCCTAGCAAGGCCTTGCAACTTCCTCAGGTTGTGTAACAATTTCTGTTTGTGAAAAAAAAAGACACAAATTTCACTCGTAGGCTTGTTAAATTAAACACGCAGGGACACCAAAAGGGAGATCCTATGGGGGTCAATAATTTTTTGTGCACTCAAATATTTTTTTTTACAGACCTCAAAGTCTGCTTTCCACTTCTGCCTCGCATTTAGAAAGAGCTGACGAGACTTCCGCTTGTCGCTACGAAAAATGTACTTTCATTTCTTCAAATGCGTAACCATTACTGATTTCCTGAACTTCGATCTGCATTTCTTACGCTAAGCAAATTAACCCTTCGGTCTTCCGACTTCGTTGGTCAGCCGTGTCATAGGTTTCCGTTTCAGACAAACTGAACATTTTCTTGTAGTTGTACCACCGGCCTCAAAGCCTGTGTATTACACTGCCTTGGTTTTCAACTTTTTCATGTGTAAGTCACACCACAACGGGTTTTATTCACGTTCCATGCGGGCTTTCTTAACCAGCTGTCATTAAAACCAGTCGATTGTCATAATAGGGCGTCTAGCATAAAAGCATCGTCCTAGGGAAGTGACATCTCTGACTTCGCGTCGTCATTTTTGACGGCTGTTTGACGCGGTATGAAACCTCGGGCATTTGATTGTGGCGAACCTCTACTTAATTGCTGAAGCCTCTAAAACCGATCACTGTTTTTTTATATATATATATATATTTTAGCTGCGTCTACTAAACGCTCGTGCCAATGACGAATTTAATTTGTTAGTGGCCAAATAAATACTCTGGCTCACTGGTGAACGCCGTGCCTGAACTCCTAGGCGACTGTAATGAACATGCGATGGTGTAGTACCGGTGGTTATAGCTTTCTAATCACTTCAGTAATGGTTACCCTAAGTGTGGTTCATTTCTTTATCTCGGGAGAGAAAGCTGACGGAGTGTAAGAGTAAAATTACTCTACGGTGATTTTTATATGTGACATCCTCGTGTCAGACGTAAAGTCTCCCGATACTGCAAACCACTTTTTGCAAGTTAAGACGACGCTTACCGGTCAACGGAGCACGACTCGTGGCCCAAACGGCGTCTTTTAGTTCATTCCGCAACCGTGTGCCTCTGTTTTCTTCCTCAAACCTGCACTGTCGTGCCTTCTCGGCGTCAAACATTCTATACTTTATTAAGAAGCACCTAGCGCGTCCCTTATCTAGGAACTTTGATTACACGCTGTTTCGCGTTGATTCCAACCGAAGACGACGCTCTGATTCGGTGCAAAGTGTGAAAAGTGGTGTGAAAAGTGCATCATCAGGAGGCTGGTTGCCTCTGTGGGGGTTGAAATAGAGCCTAAACAAATCACACGCAGAGAAAAGAGCGCTGCATTGCAGCACACTCGCTGTGCGTGATTTGTTTAACCGCTGATTACAAACCTCCCATGAGGACGAGTGCCATGACAATGCACTTTTGCTGCCATTTGATTGGCTGCATCGGATTCTAGGCGTTGGCTTCGGTCGGACTTCATGTGATACGAAGTATAGGTGTGCTTTGCTTCGCCACGCACGATATGGTATAGTTCTGATGGCGAAACACGTAAGATGGAACGTGCACGTCATCCCAAGCAGGCTCGACATTTTAAAACATTCAGAGTTGGAAAAGCGTTCAGCGTTCAGAATGTGGTTAGCGCTCAAGCTGCAGCAGGCACCTGTCCCCTTTTTGTTCGGATACGAGAATCAATCAGATGCCGAGTACGCACCACTATGTAATTGTGATCCTCAGCCGGCTGGGCAATTCATTGTTCCGAACGACAAGGGCGATCCAACCTTCACTCTCCGAGAGTGTACGGTTGTGTGCGTGCCTTTGTTCTAGCGCGTTCATACGTGAGCGGGAGTACCGACAATGGTTTCCTACGACAATTACGCCATTATTGAGCAGTCACAAACATAAACTCGTCCAGTCAAAAAAAAAAAAGAAAGCGGATTTGATGAAGCGAGGGGAAGACGACACAAGTCGTAACCGCGAGTGACTGTAGCGACCTGCCCCTCATTATGCCGGAGCGTTTATGCTGAGAAAGCTTAGCCAATGGGCAGAGCCTGTGGCACGCGGAACGATCCGGCTACACTCTAAAAAAAGTCTGTGCGTCTACTTTCACGCACATCACTCAAAGAGCCAATCACCGCAACTTACGGAGGCAGCTCAGCGAATGACGATGCGGAAACATATGTTTAGACCAAAAAACCCAGTCTGAGTTGTGACATTAAGCAATGCCAAACGTCACGCTTGCATTGCTTAATGTCACAACTCAGACTACGTTTTTTGGTCTAAACATATGTTTCCGCATCGTCATTCGCCGAGCTGCCCCTGTAAGTTGCGGTGATTGGCTCTCCGAGTGTTGTGCGGGAAAGCAGACGCACGGGCCTTTTTTTAGAGTGTACTTGACAACACAAGATAGAGACGGCAGTGGTTTGCCCAGCAACACAAGATGGCGAATGGAACATACCGTTGCCCAGACTCTCAGCCATGGTTGCTAGACTCAATTTTCAAAAGATGACAGAGCTATTCTAGCGTACACCTTACCAGCTCTAATCACAAGTATGGAAAATGCCGAGTAACTAGACTGTGAACGCATGCGTTGTGTCTGATATTTCGCAGAACTACTGCACACGTTTACAACATGTTCCAAGGGCCAGTTAACAAACATGGCGGCCTGCAGAAGTAGATTAATGGAATAGTCGATAAACGGCTGTGTTATGTGTACTTTCCATTCGCGATCTTAAGCGGCCCCTCATGTTCACCGCACATTGCTTACTTTAACGCAAACGAGCGAGGCGTTATTATTAGCATCAGCGTCATCAAACTAATATTTGTTCATCTCGAGTGACCACCATTCCGCAGAGGAACCCTCCCAGTACAAACGGCTCTAGTGCGTCCGCATTTACGACCCCGAGCGGCGGTTATAGGCCACACACGTCTCTAACCAACATTGCGGCTGCCCCACCACGAGGCATAATCGCACGGCAAAGGGGGAAGGGGACGACGGGGGGAGGGAGGGGGTGGGGTCATGTGTGACGCAGTGTGGGTATAGATGGCTGCTGATGGGTGGGTGCGGTTGGAATGCCGACGCCATCATAAGACCGTCTCCTTCTCGGTGATCTCTCGGGGCATCGGGTGGGACATGATGACGGCAGGGCTCCGCAGTTCGGTTGACGACACGCGGTTGTTGGTCAGGTCCCGGGGGCGCAGGAGCTCCTGGACCGTTGTCGACGACGGTCTGCGCAGAGAAAGGGCGACCTTGAGCGGGTCTCGCGAAGACAGGGAGACACAAGGATAAAATATTGAGCGATAGCTTTATATGGAAAATTCTCCTCGGGCCTTTCCTCCTCTGTAAGTCTGGCCGCATGATGGTGCAACATCAGGCGACGTCATAAAGTCATAAGTTATTAATCGGATGACGTCGGCAAGGTTCCGTGACGTCACAGGGTTGTGTGACTTGAAAATGTCACGTGGCATCAATTTTCGCGCAAAATCTGTCGAGAAAATGTATCCGCTAGTTTCCGATAGAAAGTGCCGCACGTTAAAAACAGCCTCAAGAGTTATCGGACCTTCACTGTATTTAAGGGAATGTCTAATACCCGTTCCACACGGGCAACTCGAATGCCTATTACAACGAATGACATTTGAGCGGACGGCCGATCAGCGTGCGACACTCCGGGCGTGGCGCATTCCACGCGCGACAGATTGCGAGCTGATTTGCCGATCACACAAATGTCATTCGTTGTAAAGTTCCCTGTGTGGCACGGGTATTAGTCACGCGACTTTTTTTTCTGCCTCAGTCATGAATCACTAAATAATACCCGGGACGTACTAACATGAAGACAAATTCACAGGTCTCATTCACACACCGAGTAAGACCGATAGCATGACGTGAATTATGAAAAACTTGATAAGGCACGGAGTTTACTCGCCTTTCCATGCCAAGCTGCGCCTCCAGCTGGCTGACCCTAAGGCGGGCGATGTCCAGTTGGTGACGAACCTTCCAGAGCTGGTTGTCGCAGGCCGGGTCCCGGCACCGCCGTCGCATCCGGGCTTCGTACACGGCTTCGCGGAAGCTCAGGGATTTGCCCATGCTCTGCGCATGGTGATGCCGCGGATGCGTGACCAATGTTATTTTTGGTCGTAACCACGGCTTCTTCTGTCGCGTTTGATATATTTATTTTAAGACAACAAAGCACTGGCGGCCAGAGGAAAAAGATATGCATAGTTCTATTGGGTTAAGCAAACGGCAGACTCTGCCTAAATATTAAGCATACCCTGTGGACATTCTTTGGTCCGTTTTAGCCGATTGGTAAAAGAATGACATATATGTGAGCAAAACGACAAAGGTGCTTAACATTCCCTCGCTCAGCGTGTACTGTCGTGAGTGCCTTTGTTTCAGTGCGTTTATACCTGAGTGGGAGTACCAACAATGGTTTCCTACAACAATTACGCCGTTATTTAGCAGTCAATAGCATAAACTCGTCCCATCAAAAAAAGAAAAAAAAAAAAACTGATTTGAGGACGTGAGGGAAAGATGACACAATAGCAGCCGTGAGTGATTGAACCAGCGTTTCCCTCATATTTCCCAGAGCCGTTTATGTTGAGAAAGCTTAGCCAACGAACAGAGCCTGTGGCACGCGGAACGAGCCGGCTGCTTGACAACGCAAGATGGAGACGGTAGTGGTCTGCCAAGCCACACAAGATGGCAACTGGAGCATACCATTCCTCAAGTTGCCAGACTGTCAGCCATGGGGGCTAGACTCGGTTTTTAAAAGATGGCCGCTGTTTTTCTTGATGGTGAGAGGTAATGGTTGCTCCTCCGTGGTAGGACATTTTATTAGTAGCATTTTTGAGAACTACTGAATGTAAAAAGGCTTACAATTTATGCTTTTTGAAGTAAAATTCTATAGAATGAATGTTTAAACAGCGGGATGCTAGTGCCGTATTTTTCGGGCAATAGTCCGCACCCGGTGTATAGCCCGCCGGGAACAATTTGGGTTGAAACTACAACGTATTTTTCTTATATTGTCCGCACTCGCTGCATAGTTCGCACCTAGTGCTTAGTCAACACCAAAAGCTTCTCATACACGGCATACCCTGAAAATGTCTGCTATTTCAGTTCACCAAGAAGCTGGTATTATACATAAATCACCATTAACAAAGTCTTTCATTCACAAAATCAGTCAAATCTTGGCATAATCAACGATCTTCAAAAACAGAAATCCTGTATACTCCGCACTCGTAGATAGTCCGCACTACCTAAAATTTAAACGTTTAAACATGTATAGTCCGAGGACTATAGCTTGGAAAATACGGTATGTCCCAAGGGACGTCTCATGTCTCCGCAGAAGATGAAACTTTTCGGCACTGCTGAACTACTGATGGCCTGAGATCGTTAATGTGAACAACGCGGCAGTGATAACACACACACAAAAAAAAAAGAAAAAAAAAAACACGCCGGCAAGATGCTTATTTAGATCGAAACGGGCAAAAGAGGCACTGGATTCTGGAGCACAAAATTTCGCTTCATGTGCTCCAAAACTCAGCTGCGTAAAAAAGAAAAAAAATTATTGTTATTGTTTTTTTTTTCTCAAATAAGCTTAAGAGATGGGCTAGCCGTTTTTCATTTACTTTTCAATCGACAGCTTTCTAATACATGGTTTGAGGGCTGAAGTGTACCAAAGCACCAAGTGCGAACTCGACATTTTTTTCATATTGCTGGTTTCGTTTAGGCAGCAACAGCAGTGGAAAAAAAAAAAAAAGAACAGTTTTCATTGTGCGTTTATTGCGGCAAGGCACTACTAAACTAAGTACAAGTGGCTGCATGTGTGACATTGGGTACCCGCCGGCTGTTCTAGTCAACTCTTAAGCGTGTTTCACATGCAGCGATTTTGGCCCTAAAGCGGCGCGATTTCTGCCGTCGCGGCGCTCGTGCCGCAGAATTGAGGGCCGCCCACACTAGCGAGAAAACGCGCGTGGCACGCCGATCGCGGCAAGTAACAAAATGTCGCCGAAGCACAGTCAGCGCCACGAGCGCGTGCAGACACACGCCCTTTATCTTGCCGCTTAACCGATTTATCGGCGCGCCGGGCGCGTTTTCTCGCTAGTGTGGGCGGCCCTTTGCTGGTGCTGGCCAGAGCGCCGCGACGGCAGAAATCGCGCCGCTCTAGGGCCAAAACCGCTGCATGTGAACTAGGCTTTATTCTATGAAAGAAATAGACCTCGATTGTGAAGTTTTTATGGGTTCATGATTTTACCATTTTCTCAGGAGTGTCTGGTTGGCCTGGAGCAAACGTTTCCATGTATTTCCTCGGAAATACACGGAATAAAATGAAACAAAATCTAGATTTAAGCTCCCGTTTTTACCACATTCTCTGGATTCCCGAATTAAGAAATTAAGAAAAGTCCTTCTCACCAGTGAGATGAGGGCGAGCCAGCGTCCGGAAGCGGCCCCTCGCCGGTTCCCCGCCGAGACCCTGGCCCGCAGGTATCTGAAGTAGATGTGTTCGAGGAAGAGCAGCAGCAGGGTAAGCAGCACGCCGCATCCGAGCAGAAGGAAGGCGCTCATGAACTGGTTCACGTCGAGCGGATTGCTCGCGTTGCGCTTGGGTTTGTCCGGCTTGCAGGCGCCCTGCAGCCAGAACCGCTGCAGGCGCTCCAGGTCACCGCGCTCCCTGTACGCAGGAGGGACCGATGTGACGGAAAAGAGAGGGGACAGAGGCGTCCTCAAGTCAGAGAACAGCCAACGCTATGAGCCTATGGGACCAATCATACAGCATCAAACGCATTGTCATTCGGTTCGTTATCTTTTATTACATGGTCTGCCAGCTGGTAGACAAACCAAGAGCGGTGGTTCCTGTTGACTTTCACGTTTAGCATGTGTCGAGGTTTGTACTTGTTTGAGCCCTCGATTGGGCTAGATGATTTTTTGTGCAACGTGGTATAGAAGCAATTCCCCCCTACTTTGCATCAGCTTAAGTAACTTCCCACGCAGCCGAAGATACGAGGCAATGGAATGAATAAAGCAGCGTGAGAAGCGCAAATCACTGAGACGTTTCTGTTTCCTATTGATTCAGCGATGATAGAACACGCTCAGAAACACGACGAACACCATAATGGTGCACGTTTGATGCTGTCTGATTTTTCCGATCAGCTTGTAGCGTAGGATGCGTGTGCACTTAAGGTGAAGCGAAGTACAGCTATACTTCATTTCACCTAAAGAAACGAAGTATAGCTATACTCAGTTTCACCAAGTCCAGACGCGCAGCCGACGCTACGAGCTGTTGGGAAGAATCGTACGGCGTCAAAAGGATACCATCGTGGTGTTAGCATGTTTCCGAGTGTGTTCTTTCACCGCTGAACCAAGCATAAACAGGAAAGGCCAAGTGATTTGCGCTTTTCACACTGCTCTGTTGGTCCCATTCACTCGTAACGTCGGTTGCGTCTGAACTTACGTTACAACGAAGTACAGAAAGCCGTGGCGCTAGATTTTATACATCACCCATCGGAGGCGACGCGGAGCACAAATTGGAGATCGGCGCGAGCTTTCGGCTGAGGCCTGTGCTTTATTAGTGAGAGCACGAGTTCCAGTCGAACGCTGGCGCAGCACTTGTGTCCAATCTGTACCCCTCGTAGGTCACGTACAAATTTTAGCCCTACTGTTTTGCTATCAAGATGTATTGCGACATCAGTTACCTTCGTCCGGACAGAATCAGAGGATCTCTCAAGTCGAACCAACGTTACTAGGTTAGCTCAGTTGAGGAACTATCCGTAGACACTGCTTCCTCGAGCAGTCCCCCGCTCTAGCCCCCCGGCCCGCCTCCCGTCGTTCGATGCGCCACCGTTTTGGCAACGGCTGCTGTGTTAACTACAGTGTACTCTATGGAACGGGTGTTTTGAAGCACATTGTCTAGTTGGCGTTTCACCGTATTCTATGAAACACACAGTTTTAAATAAAAAAAAATAAAATCCAAATGGCGCTTCAAACGAGGGGAGGCGGGCTGGAAGGGGTAAGAGGGGGTGCAATTTCACAACTGAGCAAATCTAGAAACGTTAGGGCGAAGAACTCCCGCTAATAGGAAGACTATCCTAGAAGCATTTTAAATCCGGATTTAGAAGCTCGAATGGTGCTTTTTAGAGCGTCCCTTAGCAATCGGAATAAAGTCGAGGGATTGTCATTCTGTTTTGGAATATGATGGTGCACTAATATTATTGTCATGTAATTTCTTCATCGGACAAACTGTTGCCTTTACTGGACTAAGTAGCAGCGCTCGTCCTTTCTACTCACTCTTCGTGTCCATGGCCATCGCGTCACTCCTTTTTAGATATATGCACAACTATCCCATCAGTTCGTTTTAGCACTAAAATAAAAGTACTAGAGCGACCGAAGAATCCGAAAGACATATTTAGGTTTCCAGCGCTGCAATTGTCCAGTAGGAGGAGGCGAATGGGCAATTGCAGTCTTGCATGCATTAAAGTTCCTTTCACGTAGCTTTACACATTAGCTATTACATTGGTAGAGTATTTCCTCTATTAGTTCTTTAACCACCTGCCCCGGACTAGAGGCACCCACTCATCTCCTCTGACACTTTTACCTCCCCTTTCCCCACCGCACATGTCACTTCTCTGATTATCAATAAATAAATATTCAACAACAACAACCACCTAAACCAAACGTTATAAAGCTGTTTTGAAAGAATTTTGACAATTTATTAATATCAGTAAACTAACGTCATTCAACGTGTCGCTTCGTAAAAAAACGAAAACAAAACAATACAGCAGTTGCCATCCTAGCTTTACCAAGCTGAAATAAAGTGACAGCGTTATTTTACTTCTAAACGAAACGGGCTCCGAGAACGACATCCCATACGACAAAGGTCCACGGTTCATTAATTCAGAACTGATAGCTCGCTTTGAGTAAACAAATTATTGGGAGAACTTACTGGGAGATGGAAATTCCCTGGCACTCACCAACACGTGCACCATCGACTAAATCTTGCAACCAACCGGTCTGCATCGGAATATGAAACATTCAGTATGCCAAGGTTTAGAATTTGCCAGGACATCTCGTCAGCACCTGCCACGACATCTCGTCAGCACCTGCCACTTCAGTGGAGTGTACTAGAGAGGCGGAGTGTTGTGGGGCTGCGACCAATCAACACATTCCAGTTAATGAGATCGATGAGCAGGATTTTAAACATAATCTTGTCGGAGGCCAGAGCAGGGCACACTCAACAGAAGTGCTGCCTCGGTGTTTGTCAGAGACTTGCGTTCAATCAAAGGGGACACGAGCGTCAGCCGAACACCGACGTAGCGACGCAGCACTTGGCCTCTTTATCAACGACGTGTTGCCTTCAGGGCCGCAGTACGCCGATTTGTGAGACATCATCGAGAGGATGCCTTTTAAAAAGCAGATGCTGAAAGTGGAATCACGGTCGTTTTGCACGTTCCGTGTCCATATGAACCGTTTCAGCGAACAGGCGTTCCACAGCCCAGTATACATAGACGTCAGCGCCCCGAAGGTGATTGTTGGAATGGTCTATAAACGTCTCCAAGTACAGCTTCTGCGCGTCGCCATCTTCCGGCCGGCGTTTGTGTGAAGACCTTCCGATAGTCAACACCTACACTGAAGTGTAAGGGTGCCCACGGCCACCAAATAGGCGCACAAAGCATTTTCCATCCACGTTGGCCAGAGCAGCTTCCGAAATCTGACAGCTTACAAATGTCTATAAGTGGCTTCCATGGACGTTGCATCAACGTCATTGTGATGGCCTTGCTGATGGACGCGTAATGACCGCCAGCCCAAGGCGATGACGTTACGTGCAAGACATACACCGACTTGCTGTGTAAAAACAGCCCCCGTTTGCCCTCATCTGGTGTGGGCACTGCGCTTGCGCAGAAACAAGATTCGCGTGCGGTGAAGAGTCAGCGCAGGCGCAGTGCGACCAGCAGCGCCGGCGCAGTAGACTGACGTCAGAGAGCTCAGTTAGTGTATAGGCTCGGTACTTTGCGCGATGTCCACTACTGAGGCGGGTCCATCTTTACCTGTACTCGACCATCTGGCGGTTGAACATGGCCAGGTACTTGGACTTCTTGGGCAGGGCGAAGCCGTAGCCCGTCATGGCGTACCAGGAGCCCACGGTTAGCAGGCGGCACTCGTCGTCCTGACCCACCAGGTAGTCGAGCACCGTGGCGTCGTACACGAAGGCGTCCAGCTCTCCGCGCTTCACGTCACGGATACCCTCGGTCACCGTGGACCGGTTGAAGGGACGCATGTACGCGTACAGCTGGGGCTTGTTCTGCTTGAGCACGGCCTCCGTGTTGCCGCGAGGGATGGTGCCGAACCGGAACGGGGGGTCCGTCTGCTGCGGGTTCTGAAGCTGCACGCGCAGAAGAAAAACAATCAAGAACAGCGCCCAGAAGAAACAAGCGATCAGTGTGCTGCCATACTCTGCATTTGCAAACTTTCAATGCAAACTACGTGTCCTAATTACAAGTTCAACAAGACAGTCAGTTGCCAGTGTTTTTTTGTTGTTTTTTTGCCTGTCATCATTAAGGACGTATATTCGTCCTTCCCAAAGCTTCATACGGTTTCTTTCATACGTATTACAAGTCTGTGGCAAATGGTGGTCTTGACGACGCACGACGGAATCGCTAAGAACCCGGGCGGTATAGCCATGTCTAGGAAAGGCATCCAAAAGCTTGCGCCACGTCATAATAGCTGTTTAAATCTGTGTAGTGATTATGTGGATAAGTAGTTAAAGCATGTACCCATAGCGGCATGCGCGCGCAAGGAAATAATATTCGAAGTTACCTACATGAACTGCTAAATTTTACTGTTATCCGCAAAAGGGTAGAGTTCATTTCTAGATGCTATATCTAAATTAAGTGCGACCAAAGTACAGAAAGTATCACTCCTTTGTAAACGGGCAGGTCTCATATTCATCGGCACGAGAACAGCTTGACTGCGAAAGGGAGCGCAGACGTGGGACAAGACGCTTCGGGAACTGCGGAATCAAGCCAAGCGTGTGTCTCACTGACTGACCCGGTTATCCTCGATGCCCGCGAGGTTGTAGTACTCCTCGCGGGTGATCATGAAGGCGGCCAGGTTGGCCGTGTAGATGGCCAGGAACACGACGGCGAACATGGCCCACACGTTGGACATGAAGCGTGCCGTGTAGCCCCGGGGGCAGTCCACGTTCACCGCAGCCCCGAACAGTATGGCCCACACCAGCCAGTAGGTGCGGAACAGCGAGAACCGATGCTCTGCAAACAGAGATATCTCTTTTCTTAAACGAACGCTGTCTCCGCTGGAGGTATCGTTAAGGAGGCACTGGACTCCCCAGAAAGAAAAATGAATTAAGTTCCTTGGTAGGACAACTCTAACAGAATAAACTTCCTCCGAAAATAAAAAAAGAATAGCAGAGAATTTCGGTTGCGAAACTGATTTGAGCGTTTCCGAAGTATGCTTCTATTTTAAGGCCAAGCTCTCTGAATAGAAGCATATTTTGGAACCGCTTTCAAATCAAATGAAGTCTCGCGACGTAAATATTGCGCGTCAAATATATGTTTGAAGAACAATCAATTTTGAAGTATGTGTGTTATTTGGGCATTTAAAAAAAATGAGAAGGGGCCGGGAGTTCAGTACCGTTATAAGGGGACCGTTGTAGTGCAGTTCCAGCCCGCCTTTCCACCGTTAAAAGTGTGGCACGTCATTTTGTACGGCAAGACGACAACATCAGTTCTCCAAGCAGAAGGTCATTAACTTCGTTTCAGCTTCGGTCCAGACGCAGACAAAGCTACAAGCGCGAGCTCCGGGCTTTCAGCATCCCTGCCAAGCACGCGCGCTCGTGCAGTCCAAGCACTGTTCTGGGCCACATGCTCGCGCTTGTAGCATCGGCTGCGTCTGGACCGAAGCTGAAACGAAGTATAGTTACCATATATTTACGTATAAAGAGAAAGGAAAAGGTTTACCTGGGGCGTGATTTTTCACTCGAACCTTCCGAAAGAACGTTTACACGTTTGTAGCCTACAACCAAGAGTGCATACATCTAACCTCGCGACCAAGTAGAAGGCTGACGTATGCAACGATTAATGACTTTTTGGGGACACCGATCATTTATAACAGATACATTTGATCTGTTTGTTTGGCCGTATGATATTATATTTCAGTTTCTTCATTAATCCGGGCCCAAATTATACGAGCGCTACGGAACAGAGGGTCGCACGATAAAATTTTCTTGGGGGCAGGTACACCTGAAAGAACCGTTGCTTATCAAAATTACTATATATAATCTCCCAAGTAAAAAAGAAAAAAATAAGAAAGTCTTATAAAATTAGGAGATAGACAAGTGATATATGCCCAAACCTGTCGTTTCCGAGAGGTGTCTAAGTAATTAATCTATCCCACTTCGGGAGTTCGGTTATACTGGCACAAGGGCTTCTTTTTTTTTTTCAGATTTGTAGGACTTGCTTTGCCTCGCATAGAACACGATGCGCTCTTTTGTTCTAATGAAGCTCCACAGAAAGACGCCGACGTGTGCTCACCTCTCGGCGGCGTGATGCGCATGTCGTAGCCCGAGGGACTCATCCACTCGAAGACGAAGATGGAAAAGGCTGCCACCTGGATACTCACGAGCAGGATCAGCAGCCAAGAAACCGTGTCGAAGGGTTCTGCGAAGCCACGCGCCCATGAGTGTCTCACAAACCTGTCGCACTATGCAATCCAATCGTGTTGGGCGACACTCAAACTGCGAGGCACGGTCAACGTCAGCGAGTGCGTTCCTGTTAAGTAATCTTTACTCCGTTTCGCTCTAATGCCCTCGTTACACGGGTATACCCTCAATAGCAGTTAAGTCACCCTTAACTGCAGACAGTTTTTTTTTTTCGGGTAATTATTTCAGACAGTTAGTTTGGAAGAAGTTGAGAGTGCGCGTGAGCAGGTTTGATGGGCGCGGTGCTCAAGACGCACAAGCGCGCGTGAGCCCACAGCTTTAACGGCGTAACCGCGTAAAGTTCTCCGATCGGATACACGTGGTAACTGTGGCTTAGCGTAATCTACGGTCAATCCCGTCTAACTTGGGTATGAGTCCGATTACAGCCGACGCTTCGATTCGATGGAGCCAATCAAAGTAGCGCCATTAGTACATTATCATCATTGTCTTCGTGGGTTTGCTATAACAAACTAAACAAATCGTGCGCAGAAAATAAATAATGAGGATCTCGGCACATTCGCTGTTCGTGATTGATTTAGTCGGTAATGGTAAGCGTACAAAGACGACGAGAGCCGGGACTATGCACTTTTAGCGCTCATTGATTGGCTTCCATCGCCTTTTGACATTGCGATCACGTGTGGCGCTCTACTCTATTTCACCGTAATGATGTACCTCAGGAAACTCTTCAAGCGCGAGTTCCTTGCTCTAGGGCGCATCTCGGCGGCACAAGCTCTCGTGCATTAAGAGCAGCTGCCAACGCTATGAGCTAGCGCTTTTAGCCTTCGCAGCGGTACAACATAAGGTGAAACGAAGTATAGTATAGTGTTTGCCATCACCGTGACGAATAAATCGCAACAAGATACTACCTCTTGCTTAAAAAAAAATCATGCGTTGATCCCGTAATGGGTGCGGTCGTTCGGATGTCGTGTAACAGACACGTGCAACAGACACGTTCATATGTGCGCTTTAGGTCGCGTAGCTCATCCTGAAATTAAAATCTGCTCGTTCCTTCGGTACTCTTTATTGTTATCGATTTTTTGAAAAGTTGTTTTGTCATTAGGACAACAAACGAGCGTCCGTACAAAACTAAAAACAATGAAAAACAAGAGCGCCACAAAGTCGGCTCATATAGGCGGTATCGTGCAGCGGTTCCTTTCTGAGTGCATTGGTGATTTTAATATATCTACAAGCTTTTTGTGGTCGACAGAGGTGTCAGCGTTTACGAATGAGTCAAGATGATCAGCCTATCTTTATCCCTGTTCCAAAACGTTGATTCCTCTCTTGCTGGTAATAATGTATTCGGACGACGCACAAATGTAGGTTCGGGTGGTGCGGTGAACATACACGCTAAAATACAAACAGACGACAACAACTGAAACTTGTGTGAATTTCTGAAGGAGCGAAAATAATCGCATGCTATTTTAAAAATACGAGGGTATCTCCTGCGCGTAAATCGCAAATATTTTTTTTCATGGAAGTTTATTTGCAATCTTTCTACAATATACAGGGTGTCACAAAACAAAAATTACAGTTTTCTTTTTTTTTTTTACGCAAAAGTAAATTAGGCATCGCCGAATGCTCATTCACCGCGCAAAGGTAGCACCAGAGGCCACAACTAGATGCCAAAGTTCCAGCCCGATCCGATGCCTTATTCAAAAGTCATAAGGGATTTTCTGAAAATTTCAATGGGAAAATGGAGCCCATTTTTGCCCGTTTTGGGTTTCTGGCGCCCATAGAGCCCCACGTATTCGAAAACTCCGTCGGCCGCCATTTTCCCATTGGAATTTATTGCATGGGGCTGAAACTTTGGAATCTGGTTGTGACCTCTAGCGCTACCTTTGGGCGAAAAATGAGCGTTCGGCGATGCCTAGTTTATTTTTGCAAAAAAAAAAAAAATCTGTAAACTTTTTTTTTTTTTCTGTGACACTGTATATCTCCGATTTGTTCGTTCGAGGAAAAAATGCGCTAAACTACTTCTTTATGTGTTAAAGTTCGTTCAATTTTCGGCTTGTTTTGCGCATGTAGGTTCCAGGCTTAGCAGCTGTAATCAGTGACAAGTTAAGAACCCAGTAGATTATCCGCCTCCAGCGTGAGGTTTCTGCCTTTGATAATACTTTATCGCTTGAGGAAGCACGGCAAAGGCAACGAGCTGATTAAAAGTGCTGTGCGTATCAGAAGCCTCAGGTCGGCAGTAGTGAAACTCCAGTCAAATCGCCGCACGTGCCGTCGTATTTGAGCGAAGACTAACCTGACCTTATTGACGTAGCTAAAATAACAATTGCGTAGACTCTAACTACTTTAAAATCGCCTGCTTAGTGTGCCCAACGAAAAGCGGTTCGCGTGGTTCCACGAACGCCTTTAGCTTGCAATAAGCCTCATGCGGTTTACCGGCGACCATTGGAGTTGGGAGTACGAGTCATCTAAATTTCATAAAATTGAATTTTCGCGACGACAATTCATTAGTTATTGTGAATACGAGACTGCGACAATGCCGCGTTTTTACTGGCATCAGCCCGGCTGTGTTTACTCTTCGTTGTGTGCCTGGATGCCGGCTGGTAATATCATGTCCGTAAATTACGAGGCTCTTCTTTTCTTATTCTCCTATTCAGTTTTTTTGCATTTTTGCGTCGTCTCTCTTTCGGGACAAACGGTCGTTAAAATTTAACGCAAATAAATAATGCATCGGGACGCAAGACACCGAGAAAAAAACAACAACAGTTGCGTAGCAGTGGAAGACTTTCAGGAATCAAATTAGGGCTCCGGCAGGCTTTGTCAAGATATGTTTGCGAATCTGCGAATGAATTTAGGAGAGCGGCGCTGTGTGAAGTTTGGAGCAACCCTAAATTGAAAAGCTTCAATTTATGGAAGGTGAACGTTGTAATGTCTTCTTCTGAGGTTGTATTCTGCACAGTGCAGCAGAACGATTCGGCCATTGAAGCACGGGACTGCCAGCTTTTCTGTATACTCTTTAAAAGGGTCATGAGACGATATGGGGCTGGAATGTTCACAGCTTTGCAGGGGCGCACTGGTCCTCTCTGGCCGAAGTATATACTTGCACAGGCCGCCACTGATTAAGAAGCTTCTTTGTCGCGGTGAAATTGCGAGGATAACAGGGTTCTATTTCTTTCAGTCTCGTCTTCGCAAAGCTTCATGACGTAATTGTCGGATCGAAACAACCCGCCTGACGACAATTGAGTTGCGGCTTATGGATTGGACGCGAGAACTGCGTGAGCACCCGACTCCGGCTCGTAACAATTAATAGAGAGTTTTAGTAGATCGTTCCCATGGACTCCGATAACGATACCCGATACTCCGCCACCGCCTCCCTTGTGCAGGCATAGTATCGTTATCGGGGCTATCGGAGGTATCGGAACGATCTACTAAAACACTCTAATGCCTCGATGGACACTCGGGTAGTGGCTTGTGTCCACCCACTGTGGTGAGAATAGCCGGACACTAACGATGGCTAGAGTTGAGCACTCGTTTCTTTTTTTTACTTTTCCAATTACAGTGCGTGTATATGATTAACGTTGGCTTCATACGATAGGCACCAGGCCACGTGGCCGCTTGTTCTGGCTTCCAGTTGAGAGAATGAACGATGCTCGTATTTCTCGAAATGGTTTGGCCACTGCCATTGCCTAGAAATAAAACAAAAATCGTTCAGCCTTTCCATTCTCGTGAAGAAGGAAGACCAGCGGAGCTGTACTCGATACACTGTGTGCTTCTTCTTCTTCGTCGTCTGTTTTTTGCGCTGTTTCCTACGGTGAATTCCCACCAACGCGCCCAACTATCCATTCTTCTATTATGGATGGATGGATGGATGGATGAATACGGCTGAGCCCTTTGGATCGGGCGGTAGCTTACGCCACCTAGCCATTTTGTTTTACCATTTAAGCTTAGAATATTTAAATGTGAAATCTATATTCACTCTGCAGTGCAAAGAAAGTGAGGTTATGAATTATAGCTGGAAAGGTTGGCGCCATCTACGAGCGACGGCGGAAACCATACTGGCTGTGTGCTTGCCGCCGTCGCTTATAGATGGCGGTAGCTGTCCAGGTAGGTTTGTGTCGACATACACGGACACGATCCTGGGGAACCTAGCCCTTAAGGGGGGACACTGCCCAGAAAAAAAAATTTCTCCAAAAAAAGTTGATTTTGTAAAATGACATATTTACACCTAGTAACATCTGGAGAGTATTCCCAAAATGTTTTATTAATTTACACTGCATAGTTAATTTTTTATAAATTATTTTCTGTCCAACAAACCTAAAGAAAAGATAGGGTTTGGAGCACTTTGAAAGCATTTTTCTCCATTCGACTTTTTGGTATAAATTTCATTTTAGTCAATCTATCGTTTGATAATGGCAAAACAGGGAAGGCTCATTCTTCCCTTTTCCCGACTGAAATTTAATAAGGAATGCGGCTATGGAACATTTTTGTCACTTTACGGATGTCTTTTATAAAAAAATGTTGACATTTTGTCGAAGACACAGAAGACCAAAAAGTTGACCAATTTTTCAGAAGAGAAAATTTATAGAAATAAACTACTTTTTAGAAAAAAACATTCCATAGCCGCATTCTCTAGGCACTCTGATACATATCTAGCGAATAGAAATGTTGAATATTGTGATAGTTTTCCAACGATAGATTAACTAAACAATGTAGGCGTATTGCTGATAGAAGCTGCTCTGATTTCCTTCCCATTTAACCGACAGACCTAAACTTTTGTTATACACCCTCTAGCATGACCACCAGCCTACCTGTGAATTTCGCTCATTTTAAGACAAGAGTTCAAAAGTTGACCCTCCTAGGGGGTGTGTCCCCTTAACACGTCCGCTGTAAAAGTTTATTTATTTATTAACCTTAGAGAGCGATTTTAAGTAGTAGCTAGCAAAAGTGGAAAAATTGTCTCATGGCTTCTTTAAACTTAGTGCACTAGCAAACCCCAGCCGGTACGTAAAAGTGCAGTAATACACTTTTACGCACCTTTTGCGACGCCTTTTTACCCAACGTTCTTCGAACTATCAGCTGACAAGTTGCAAGGAAGAGCGGCGTTCGAAAGCGGTTGTTCCTTGTTACGTGCATGCAAGCAGCAGGTACGGACGGAGAGCGTTCCCAGTTCCCCCAGCGGCAACGACACCATGATGAGCGGAGAGGGACCAACCGGCAAGGTTTCCCGGGTGAAATCGTACATCTGTATTGCCTGGCATTAGGTTAGTCTTCATCTACTAGTCCAAGGTGAAAAGTAACAAGAAAATTGCCCTGTTACGTTTGAGGCGAAGTAACACGTTCTTATTGAGGCTCGGTCACGAGAAGCGTTCGATATGAATGTTTGAGCTAGTAGTGAGTACCGGTAATAATACTATTGGGTTCCTTTTATTGTTTTTTCACCGTACGCGTCTGTACAAGGCCACAATCGTAATATATTTACTCTTTTATTACTAGGTGAAGACAATTAAATTCTGTAGAATTCATTAGGTTCTTAGACTTAAGTCTAGAATAGAACGCATGGCTCATAGGATCTGATCAGCGGCACTCAAAACGACTTAAAAATCTAATCCAATAATCGAGAAGCCGAGGCCGCTTTCAACGCTCTTACACACGGTATACTCGTTTTCTTTCTAATTTAATGCATTTGTAACGATTGACATCTACTTTTATTCTAGTCCTGACAACACTTTTTTTTTTAACCTACGTCAAGAACAGTTTTTAAGTCTTTCCCCGAGCAAATTGGTCTTAGTATTACGCAAAACAAATAAACGATGCAACTTCCAGTAAGTGTATTATATACGCGTCAATCACTGCAAGTTTTTTTTATCTGTTTCTTCCCGCAAAACTCACAAAACAGTTTCACGAATATTTAAATAAATGATATCACTTGTAGCGAAACGATTGGTTAGAGGCGCAGTACGACCATGTTCGCAACAGTGAGCATCACACCACAAATAACGCCTACATCACCGTATAAAAAAAATTGTTTATTCAAACGGTCGGTCATGAAGTTCGCCTCAAACTAGACGCACGACCCATCAAAAAGTGAGACATCAACCCTGCAAGCGCTCCACGTTGGTGTAAGCAAGACGTGATTTCACGCTGTATGAGGCACCCGTTTCTCTCTCGGATGACATTCAGATGAATGTCTTCCGCGGGCTTAAATGGACCCTCCATGCAAATTGCCACACGAATCCAGCTCTCATATGCAAAACTTTGGTAGCGTAGCAGCGAGGGTCGTTTCTTCGCATCAAAGCATCATTAGTTTGAGCGAACCAGCTACAGAGTCGGAGGACGACCGTGATGTGCTTCCGACATCGTCGGCAGTCAGACTCGTTTGCGTAATGCGATTAGGAACGAGTTTTTTTTTTTTTTCTGATTTTGCTGATGATGTCTGAAATGTGCTACGCGTCACGATTGAGAGAGAGAGAGAGCGCCACCCGCCCACGAATCCGAAAGTTGTACCTACAGTTTGCTTTACTGAACGTTTTTTGCCTAAACCACTTTGCGGCATTTTGTTTGGGAAACTTCTGAACGCGCTTGAAGGATAAACAATATATTGAGGTATTTTACACATTACGTAAGACACGACAGAACACAATGGACAAAAAAGAGAGTGATATATGTATATTCATATGCGAGTCACACACCTCTACCGCTCATTCACACTGGAAGCGGATCCGCGTTAGCAAGGTTGTATAAAGATCCAGTACAATTCCACGCGCACTCGATGACATCGAGTGCGCATGCATATGTACTGGATCTTTATACAACCGCGTTCGCAACCGCTTTGCGAACGCGGATCGCTTCCAGTGTGAATGAGCGGTTAGAGTTTGCAGCTCCTAAACATTGAAACTGCATCTAAGTGTTGTTAAAATACTGGATCGATCTGAAACGACTTTTCAATTCTCGGGTCTTACGATCGCGAGATAGATCAAAATAAATATATTATTTTCACGTACATTCTCAAGGGAGCAGCTTTTTTGTTTTGTGGATTTGTAGTTATCAAATACCGAAAGAAGCAAAATGTTTGCATTTGTTTTTTCATCACAATCGCCGAGTCATTCTACAACAATTGCTTGACAATGACAACAACACAGTAGATCGATTGTTGGAAAACAATCATGGACATAAGAAAGCGCGAGCACGCGCATGCTTTTACTGTGGTCATATAATTAATTAAAACGATACTGAATAATGCAGGGTCGTGCTTGTATCCTCGTATTTTGTCTGTGAACCATGGCAATCTATATTAACATTGTTTTTTTTATTATGAGGCAACGAGTTTATTTCAGTAGTTTTTGACAACCGCCAAAAAACCTTTGCAGCCATCACTGTAATATAAATTTAAAAAAATTATCTCCTCCTTCCCCCTCCCCCCCCCACCAAAAAACAAAACAAAAAAAGCAAAAGTTATTGCTATTTTTGAATTTAAAATTAAGTTTAGTATACTGTGATTTCAATTTTTAAATAATCGCCTTAAAAGAGCAAAGTGTGTTGAACAGCAAACGGCATAAGAAATTAACTTGACTGCGTTCGGCTTCCTAACTTTTCTACCGGTAAATTTACGAATTGCTAGCGTTGCTATAGTCACCAATAAAATACCAGAAATGAGATCAAGAAAATGAATTATTAATTTATTGAAAATGTATAATTCACCGTGCATTCATTTAGGATTCAGGATAATTAACTATCTGGCCACGGTGAATATAACTACTTGCTTTCAGCTTAAAGGGGCGATGCAACTACTTTTGTACTTTGCGCAAATACCGCTTAGAATGGATCCCTGACGTTGATGACCCGTGAAACAGCCGTTCCTTTTCACTACACGCAATAGACCATTTGCTATATTACCCAAGCATCAGGGAGAATGCAGGGATTGGTGTTCCAGGCGCCACACACACACGCCTTCCCCGTATAAAAGATCCGAAGTAAATAACCAAAATAAAGCGTTGACGAACGCGCGTGCAAGATGCCATTTGTTTTATGTTTGTGCTCTAGAAAATTTACTACTGCTGAGGCCAGGACGTGCGGCGCGTGGAACACCAATCCCTGCATTCTCCTCGATGCTTGGGTAATATAGCAAAAGTTCTATTGAAGTCGCAAAAAAGTCAAAGAAAAACAAGCAGCGTGCACCGCCTCAACTCGCAGCCAGAACAAGCGGCCACGTGATCTGGAGTCAATTATATGCTGCCAATCTTGATCATAGACACGAGCTGGGGTTGGCAAGGCACAGGACACGCACTGAGTTTCAGACATTGTTATCACGAGGTCCGAATGCTTCTCGAGCTATCCATTATCACGAGCCCAAATCAAGTGCCCACGCAACGTGTTGGTCATATTTATGAGCCGCATTCAAATATCGTCACTGAAGGTACTGCGATCTCCCAGTTACATCATCAGGTTTTGCGAAGGCGAGATTGAATGAAAATTATCGCTTTTGTCCTTGAAATTGCACCGCAACAAAGGAGTTTCTTGGCCAGTGGCGTTGCGTGCGAGTATCCTTGAGTCCCACTAATGCAAGTAAGATCGTGTAAAGTGAAAACGTTCCAATGGAATATCGTAGCTCCGCCGCTTTAAGTCCAGACGCGAAAAACGCTACGAGCTGAGGAGACCAGTCAGACAGCGTCAAAGGCGCGTCATTGTGGTGTTCGTGGTGTTTCTGTACGTGTTCTATAATCGCTGAGCCAGTCATAAACAAAAAAAAAAAGGCCCAGTGACTTGCAATTTTGACGCTGCTCCGGATTGGTTCCATTAGCTCGTTGTGTCGGTTGCGTCTGGATTAAGTTAAAACAAAGTATAGGGCACCCATATGGTCACCGCAGGCGCGCCAGTTCAAGGTTTGTCTATGAGACGATCTACACGCACAGCAGCAAGATGACAGCGCCCGGGAGGCCCTACTTAAACGCGCATAAACTTCAAAAGGACGTCTCACCCAAAAAGGCCTTTGGTGATATAATGCCCGTCCGTTTGGCGACCACGATGGCAATGCCGGTCTCCAGAAAGGGCACGGTGAAGTCCACCGCCATCTGGCGGTCGGAGTTGATCTTGATAGACGTTACCACGATGTCCGCTTTCTTGTCCAGCAGCTCGGCGATAAGGCCGTTCCATGTGCCGTTCTGAATGGCCACAAGCCGGATTCTTTGATTAAAACTTGAGCGTACTATACTTTCATGAAAGACGAGCAAAACTCGATGATGTTCACCTTCGAAAAAACTCCGTGGTGTTATGTTTATGATACTTATCCTGTGGAGATCACGGAGTGAAAAGTCCCGATTTGTCTAGAAAACGCTGTCCACAGAAAGAAAAATACTAGGATGATGGTTCTTCGGAAGGCATTCTCATGCGAACTTAAGCCTGAAGTTAGTCCCATAAAGCCGTCAATAGAACAATGTAGGTTATAGCAGCCGCAACCTGTGGGGGTATTTGCGGTGAGAAGCTTGCGAGGGGCGCTGTTGTTTTCCTCACTCTGGGTAGTGCACGTGCTACCCACGCGGTTATGGTTTAATTTTTATAGTGTGTAGCAGCTTGGCACTGCACGTGCTTGCACCAGCAGAGGGCGTTGAAGTATTCTCACTCTGGGTTGCGAAAAAATTCCGCCAGGCGGCAATACCCAAACTTTTCGCCGCGAATAGTCAGATCATGCCACTGGGTGCATAGAGCATTGATCCTCCATTTGAACATTTGGTGTAACTTTTATGCAACGCAATAATTACACCGTTTAAATAAGAAGTTCAGTGTCGTTTCGTAAACGTCTCTTGCCTGGTGGCAGTGTGGCAGACATCGAAATAAGCGTTATAAGGTGCATTCACGCGGCAGACTTGTCCCCGGGCAAGTTCCTACGAAATCGGTGACGTCACCTTTCTTGAGGCTCGAAATCCGTCATGTTCCAGACGAAAAAGAAAGCACGCAAACTCAGGAGCTGGCCCACGGACCATTGGAACGTGTCCGGGAACGAGTCCGCAGACCTGTGGAATGTTGACTATGACGTGGAAAAAACGCCTTAAAATAGATCTGCAGACCTCTGCTACCACGGTTATCGAGATTTTAATCCCGTTTTATAGGGGGCGTTCACTGGATGACATATTTGAGGGCGATGTTTAGAGCGCATGCTCAGAACGGGCTTACATTAATAGCCTGCCAAGTTCGGAAATCTTGATGGTATCGAATGCACGTTGCAAAAGAACTGCGGAAGCTCGCCGTCAGCACGCGCTCAGCAGCCGCGCACACAGCTATGGCCGCCAGTGAATACTCCCTACTGAAAATGCCAGAATTGGCATTTTATGTCGCTGTTTTGGTACTCGTATTGAACGCTCCGTGAGAATTCATCCACGGGTAAAATTAGAACGAACGCCACTTCTTCATTGGGGCCCCTTCACCTATGTCTCTTTCAATGGCAGATTAGACAGACGTTGACTGGATGCGAATAGAGCGTCACGTGTGCTGCGTGATGGCTCTTTCTAATCCCCAATTCACACGGCAGCGTAAAGGTACCTTTAGCTTAGGTCTCTTAGCTGAAGTTACCTGTAGTAAACGGCGTTCTTGATCACCTGATAAATAAACGGAGCACTTTAAGTTAACATCAATTGCATTCCTGCTAAACTGCGAGAGAGCACGTGGTAAACAATCATTTATTGAAATCGGTTTGAGCGAAGTTTTTGAATATTGTGTATGAAATATCATATTTAAACCCTAAATATTATTCGTGTTTGCTTTTGCGGCACTTTATTTTTTTTTTTCTAAGTCTAAGGGCGCACCTAGAGTTCCTGTATAGGCTCCCTACGGGAGCCAGAGTTGCGCGTTCACCCCCGGAGCGCCGGCTTTCCTGCACGGCATGCGGAGTCTGCCCCTCACGTGACTGAATTCAGCAAATAGCGGCGCCGCGCGTTCGAGGCGGGTGGCGCGCTCAAAAGCAGGGGAACGTGCTGCGGGGCGCGCGCGACATCTACTTTCCTGCACGACACTTGATTCGGCTCCTCACGTGATCGGATCTCGGCGAATAGCGGCGCGGCAGCACGTGGAAAACAGACGCGAAACTTTGGCTCCTATAGGGAGCCTATACAGGAACTTTAGGCGCACCAATACGAGTATTGCTATAAAACGTCCGACCCGTCTGGCCACTCTGACCCTAAATCATCTGCGTTTACCAGTTTCCATTGCGAGGTGGGCGACCGTTTTCTGTGTAGCAGCTCCATTTTTCCGCAAAGTTCTCACTGAAGTAGCTATAATAGTGCCCGGCAGAAACGAATCACGTCGGAGTCTCACGGTTTCGCCTGTCACGCCATCGAAATTAATGGACGACGACGATGATAAAAAGTGCTAGGCGGTAGAGTCGGACGACTCGGCTACAGCTTCGAAAAAAAGCTCGCAGTGGTCCATCGCGTTCGGGTTCGATGCAGACATTGTTTTTCACTTGCCGCCGCTGCTACCTGCTAGCTGGAGTATACGTTCCTTGTTAATGTATTATTCCATCGCATTTGTGTTCACAACCTTTCATAATTTGCTACTTGTATATATTCAATTTGTTATAATGCATTAAACAAGATATATTTATATGTCTGTGATTTTTATTTCGGGTTCGCGAAAGGAGCTTGGCGAGCTCCGTTTCGACACAGGACCTCCCTTAGCGAAAGGGACCTTTACTCTCCGTGTGATTACGATCTCCAGCTTCCTTTGCTACAGGTACCTGTGCCAAAGGTACATTTACGCTGCCGTATGAATTGGGTATAATACCCAATTTTGCATGGTAGCCTGAATACACCTTTAGAATTCATCTGATTGCACAGGCTCAAAATGTGACCTCCTTCAAAAGACTCACGTCCTTGACCCCCCAGGTGCCGTCCTCGACGCGGTGAATATCGTACGTGAAGCCGAGGTCTTGGGCGAACTTCTGGAGGAGGTCGATGCAGAAACCCAGGCAACACTTGTAGTACGTGGAGTTCTTCCGAGCCGCCGTGTCGTTGATCCTGCCGCGACATAGTTGCCATGAAGCTGTGCACGAAAGATTCCGTGCACGTAACCGTAGAAAAGAAAGTAAACGCAACTACAATTTATCAGTGCAAAATGTTCAGCTATTGTTGGTCACAGCTTGAGACAACGACTCGCGGGGAAAAGCTATGAAGAGGGAGGTGGACCACAGCAATCGCTCTAGTCCTTTTTCTTTTCTTTTTTTCGGGTCTTGTTTTTTACATAGGGGTTGCCCGATACAGAGTGTCAAGCCACCAAAATTCAATGTAATACAATAGGCTCTAGTTCATGGCGGTAACGGCCACAAAATTGTTGGAGGGACAACTTGATGAGAGGCGGAGTTTATAGCAAACGTAAACTAAGGGCGTTGCTGAAAATGTTTCCAGGCTAGGCGGCGCAAACTGCCACACGATACAAAGGGTTTAACACTACCATTTACCCATTCATCCATTCATACTTTTGTTGTGGCAGTGTCGCACAGCGCACTTGAAAGTGACATTTGATAGCTGGAGTGTACTCGCTAAAGTATTACTCAATTTGTCCGTATCAGATATGTTAGACACAAGTGACTTGTCCTCACCCTTGCAGCATAGCCTCGGGAACCACACGGCACTTGACGGCACGGCCACTTTCACATTCACCAGTCTCGTTGTCGGGCTGACCGATGTTTAGAAAAGGCCTTTCTTCCATAAAGGTCACCTGTGTCAACCAAGGCACGCGTTCGGATAGAGGCTATACATATTCATATTAACGCAATGTTTCACGATATAAAAATAATTAAGATGCAATTAAAAGCCTCTTATTCATGTTAATGTACATTTTCGTTTAAAAGATTATAGACCCCACCATTTGTGTCCCACATGACCTCTTCCTCGTTAGCACTAGGACATGCAAAAAAGGTCTCTACATTGAGAGACACTGCTAGCATGAATAGGAGTTCAACAGATCCTTCCGTTAAATGCACACTTGCAAATGACACTTTGAGGCTGAAGATGTTTTATCTGATGAGTAAATTCCACCGCTTCAGCAATCGTGAGGATGGCTTCACTGTCACTTTACTGTGCATATGTTGAAAGAACAGGAAGCTAGTAAGCTTCAAAACAAGCCTAATGTCTTCGCTGTGAATGAGATATTTAGCCAGCGCAGTGCGACCAACAACTCATAGTACTTAACGTGCACCCGCTTTAGTGATACATGACTGCACGCCGGTACAATGCTATCCCAACTTGAAATGGGTAAGGGTTAGGATTGATCCCAGGGACTGCTTGCTAGAAACAGTGCCTCAGCCACGGTCTCAGCTGAGACTTTGGAAAGAAAGCACTGGGAAAGCCAGTGCACGAGCTGAGCGGGACTCAAACCGCGTTTCAAAACGCTCGTGCGCCCCAGCCCTTGCAGAGCTTTCTTTTACCCAGACTCAGCTGGTACATTGCTCTTGTTCTAGCAAGCCGGCCAAGGATTCCTGGGTACTGCAACGCGAGCTTTCCCTCCCCGTGCTCTGATCTGCGGTGAGTTAACACACCCGGCCACCTGTCTCCCCATGATCGCTTTTCAGTTGTGAGAGACACAAGAAAAAAAAAAACGTTGATCGCTTCTTCTTGCTAACTGTATGGCACTCTGTACCCTATCATGTACAAATCATTGGAAATACTGATTTTCTTGCTGAATTCGGAAACTTAGTTTGTAACAAGCTTCCCCTCTTTCCTGACCTTTAGGTTAAATTTCTCGGGGACGCCTCTTGGAGGCACCAGTTCGTTTCCGGGCCAGACGATGTCCTTGATGTCGATGCCCTTCTGGGTCCAGCCACCGATGCGGTCCCAGTAACCATCCTTGTTGAGGTTCACGATGTCCAACTCGACGTACTTGAGCGTGCCGTCCGGCAAGAACTCGATGTTGGGACTGCCCTTGGCTTCGATGGACACATTCCGGAGATACCTGCAGCCCAAGGAATCGAACACCTCCAAAAGTTGCTGAGAACATGCTCTTCACCAGACGGAGCCACAAGAGGCACTAAATGTCAGCGGATGGTACAAAGAACTATAGTGTCTGGAACACGTCTCCGACTAGTGCGTTTATCGGGTCCTCTGATTTCTGCTTTATCAAGCAGAAATCAGAGGACTACTTTTGAGGATCCGATAAACGCACTAGTCCCCTGATTCCTGCTCGATAAATTCACAAAGGCGTCATGCTGTTGTCTGTGGCAATCCTGGCAGTGGAACGGCAGCGGAGGTAGATGTGGAAGACGCCTGTCCTGTTGCAGGGCGCTCTCCAGCTTCAGAACCTAGAGAAGCTTCGCCAGCTTGGAGTTGAGAAGCTGCTACGACAGCGACACTCGCATTCGCTCGTACTTTTTGCACGAACATTTACGACCAACAGCCAGGATCGCGACATCCAACATGACACGCTGGTTGCCGCGACGTCATTTGTTGCAACTTCGGGACACTTTCGATGCACGTGCGCAATAGGACGCTAAGCAGGCAAGCCGAAGACGCGGTCCAGGCATCGGAGACGACTCGAAGAAGGAACCTCCTGATGAGCCCTAATTAGTGTCGGGACTAATCACCGGAAATTTGGATTTGGTCAGATTCGGAAATTTCCGAACTTCCCGCGACGAATATTTGGCATATACGGAGATACGGAGATTCAGCAGATTCGTCGCTGGTTGTGGACGGCAGCATGAACCTTGTCGTAAACCTCGCGAATGCGGTCAGTTGTGTTTTTTTTTTTTTAGCTTCTGTTACTGCATATAACCAGAGTTCGTCTTGTTTAGTTCAACGTATGGTATGTACTGTACTGTCATTCTAAACACTGGCACGCGCCAAGGTCCAGCCGAGCTGATCGGTGTGGTTGACGTAAGCCTAACTAATGCACGGTCCCGGTTTCTGTGCGGTTTCGCGGTGATCGGTAAAATGTATACCGAAATGCTGTGTATTATATATAGCGTGGCACAACGCACAATAAATATATTCAGGCAAGGAAATGATTCGTCTCCTTCTCTAGAGCTGCGTGTGTCTGTACCTGTAAGGCGCGAGAGCGAGATGAATGTGGCTCGTCACTACTTCGACCGCGTACTGGCACCGGTGGCGAAAAAAAAGTCACTAATTCTCACTGTCGTGTCTCCGCGTTCTCGGCAGCAAGTCGGCCGTGAAACGTTACGCGTTGCATTTGATGAAAAAGAAACAACACAGGGGTGTCCAACGCAACTTTATTGTTCGGAAACAAACACTGTAACTAAATCGGATATCATTAACCAGAAAGGTACAAATGCAGTACAGGGGACTGTAATAGTACGGCGCAAGGAGTTTCAGATTAATTATGTTGAATTAACCTAAGACTGGGGAAGAGAAGAAACATCAAAACGTAAAAGGGACGCGGTCGTACTGTCGATTTTCTGTCCCTTCTACGTTTTGATGTTTCTTCCCTACCCCAGTCTCAGGTTAATTCAACATGGTTAATATTCACCAGCTCGCCTGCACCCTTACAATTTTTTTCTATAGTTTCAGGTTGTTTCCCGTGTTCCGATAACAATACCCCAGTGGACACACGTTGGAGATAATCGAATTGAACATACTCACTTGTGTGGTGTGTGCAGACTTGTACCGTACGCATTACAAGTAATCAAATTACTTGTACTCGATTACTTTTTGGAGTAACTTTGTAATCCGTTGATTGCTTTGATTAGGCAGTAATCACAAGAGTAATCTGATTACTTTTTGAAGTAATAAAAATTACTTCTAATCGTTACTAATTTTCCACGGGATTCCCCCCCTACCGCACACACTTTTTTTTTAAATGACAAATAAAATCTGCTTCTTTTTTCAAACAGAACAAAGAGAAAAGATTTTTGCGCATCTGCAGGAAACAGGGTCAACCCCTTTGTATGTATAGTTTCTGTGGAATGTCCGTTTTTTTGTGTGTGATTTTTTTTTCGAGCTGGGACGGGGAAGCTTTAGGGAAGCCGCAGGGAAGCCCCAGTGCGTGACAAAGACCATTCAGGACGAAGTTTGAGGGAGCAGAACGTAGCTTTGTAAGTCTTTCGTTCAAACTAGGGTGCCTTCATATGCGCTTCGCGCACATAAAGGCTCCCTCGTTCAAACTAGCCCCTCTCGCACACAAACACAGAAATAAGAAAAAAACAATCCTGCTTACGGTACTTACTCGCTGCCCATAGGACAGTTAGAACCGAAGATTGTCTAAAGCGGATGCAAAATATAACAAAGCCAGTTCAAATAGACGTCAAAATCCAATAGTTCCCCTGCGTGGTCTTTGCGACAAGCAAGGTTTCGAGGTTGGAGGTAGTTCATTGTTATGAGCGCTAAAGTTGTAAGTCTTCACAGAATAAAGTAATCGGAAAAGTAACAGTTACTTCTTAAAGTAATGTCCAATTACTTTTGCTTTCGAGTGAACAAGTAATCTAATCGAATACTTTCTAGCCAAGAGTAATAGTAATTGTAACCGATTACTTCTTTTTAGCAACGTGTACATGACTGGGTGTGTGCCAATATGACCGTAATTATGGGTACGAAATGTGACTGTACCGAACAGCATGCACGGCATCTATCTCTTGCGGCGATGAAAATAGGCGCATGTATTTCCACGTGCACCACGTATCCCTATTTCGGTCGTAATCAGGAACCGAAACCAATTTTCCCGCGATACCGTTCTCGACAAACATCCGAAATAATGTAAACAAGGCGGAACATTTTATTTATTACTATGATATTATATTACAACGTTATTTTGTGCACTTTGTAGAATTTAGTGAATTTATAATCACGAAAAGTTGAACCACTCATCAACGTGATCTGGCAACCATGACAACGCTCCGATTCTTTCCGAACTTTTCCGAATCATTTGAGATTCGGCTACTCTTTCAAATCTTTTCGAATCTTCAAATTTGGCTCCTAATCTCGATTCGAATAACGGTTCGTCGCATCACTAGCCCTAATAACGTCAGTAGAGTTTTCGCTGAACAAATTAGGTTCTTTGGGGTCACGTCTCTTAGCAATGCGGAATCACCTAGCTAAACTGGTTGCCAAGTGTCTTAGCGGTACATCAGCTGCTTTCCCGCAGATCGCCGGAAGGTTTTTTCTCAGATGGCGTCTGTAAAGTTAAATTTTGCTACATCACTCATGATGCGGTGGCCCGCACATTGAACTACTATAAACGTCTGTTTTTCAAGCAGCGGGACATGCGGCGCAGAGCTGAACATTTTCTCGAACGCATCTTGTCGGGTTGGTTGACTGGTTAACCTTATCTTAAAAAGCTGGGAAAGACCGATAACCCCTGGCGACCAGACCAAAGAAGAAATTTCCATTTAGTACAGCCTTCGTGCACATCAAGACTATAACGTCTCCGGAAGTTCTTACTCAAAGGACCTCTTCACTCTCCGCTGATATTCAAGGAGAAAGAAACTAAAATAGCCACAGCCGTGCTGAAGGATATTATGCAGGTTCTCATTTGACTGAATAGTTTCTGTCAGCAACAAACATACTCAAAGCTTTCTTATGCAGCTCGTATATACATAGTGATTTTCGATCGATCTTTTCATTGCGGGATGAAGGTATCCATACGAACTAGACATGTATAATGTGAGCGTTCAAATTTACGCTGAGTAAACCACAGGAGAAAGACAAAAAGACGCCGCATACCTGAAGAAGTGATCCCCCTGCGACCAATGGGCTCTGCCGACCTCGTAGCATCGCAGTCCGGGGTTCAATGAAAGATTCGCATTTGCAGGCTCGTTGACGAACAGTTCCAGGCCGTGCCCGAGCACCAAGACAGCACGTTCGATTTCGTCGTGGAGCTTGGCAAGTGATGTGTTGTAATGGATACCTGTGCGCAAGAGATCGACGGTAACGACGTTAGTGTCTTCCAATAGAAATTTCCGTGCGTCTGCTTTTTTGCAGAAGAATAAAAGAACCAATCTTTTCGATTGTGACGTACGGAAACAGCTTGGTGAATGAAGATGCTTTCAATACATTCCAGCCTAGATATGATGCCTGCATGAAATGTTCCCATGAGTGGCGGAGGCAAGAAGTCCACGCAAAAAATGTTCCCACACAAAACTTCCAGTAGCTGTTAGGAAAAAACCTCCCTTCAGAAACATATCTTGAAATATTCTTGCGATAACGTGGCAAATGAATCGCCATATTTGCTTTACCAGCGGTGTAATGTTTTATTTTGAAATTTAAAAGCTTTTTTTTTCTACCTGATGATGCCGTATATATGTATAATGAAACACACCAATGTGTAATGCATTATCAAACTATTCGTAATCCATCTGCGAAGGTCATAATGGGATCGCATAGGAAAAACCTCGATCTACCGTCGTCCAAGAGGCGAGTTGTGCACACGGATACTACAGACGCTGCGGGATTAGTAAGAGTGCCGACTTCCTTCCCTCATTAGGAGGAGCGCCGACCTTGTCCTTCGGAGATTCTTTTCGTTCTTTTGAATGCAAATGCGCCGGTGGCTCCTGGTACTCTTGGATGACCCTGGTCAACCATGCTCCAGAACTTCCTCTTTTATGCTTCTAAATGACATTTGGTCCTGTCGCCACCTTCCACAGCGGCCCAGTTTATGCTTCATTTGGAAGAGAGAACGTTAAAGTGATATTGCTGATCACGCGTTTATACTTCCATAGTTTTATTCTTCTGCTACAGGAATTATTCCATTCATGAGGTGGACACCATCTTCGACATCATTCAGAAGCGCGCAAGCCAACGTGCAAGTAGAGGTCGAGTAGGTGCTCAACAGTCCGAGTTTCTTAAACTTTGACACGATTTGAAATGTTGATTTTTTTTTTAAGGGGAAGGGTTGTTTTGTGCGAAGTGCAGGACTCTACCTCACCATTCCTTTTTGCCTCCGGAAATTCAGAAGGCGGCAGTTTTAAGACTGTCCCTTTATAAATAAATCTGGGTCCATGCAACGAATCAGACGAATGCTACAATAATGCAGGGCACCTCTCCAAGAAGAGTTCTTTTGGCACATTTTTTTCCCTACATTGTGGAAGGATCGGTATCTTAATTTTTGTTGCCTCATTCTGTTGACTTGTAGACGGATCCTGGGAAGGGGGTTCGAAAGCCGCAGGTTTGGGCAGCAGTAGAGCCCTGCCGGGTGGCTAATTCGTTAATTAAATATTTCAAGATTGGTGCAATTCTAAATTTTTTAAATAACTTTATTGTTTTTTTATTAGCACAGTAGAGATTAACGCCAATCTAATGCTAGGTTAATATTATAATGCCCCTTTTTCACAGGCACCTAATACCCCTGTCAGAAGGCGTTCTAAAGCTCGTTTTCACTAAGCTCCTTTAAAAAAATCAGCCAGTCAGCTCGCGATGTTGAGTGTGCACGTGCCCTACAGCATGCGCTGGTTCGCCGATTTTATAAAGGAGCTCGTTTTAAGGGCCTCTAAAATGCCCGTCTGGCAGGGGTATTAGACACCTTGAGGGCGAATTCCTTTAGTGAATCGGCAAACCAGCGCATGCGGACTTACACGCGTGAAATTAAAATTGCTAGTTTATTCGCCAAATTTTTAAGGAAGTTCGTTCTAAAGAAATTTTAAATGCGCGCGAAACAGGAAAGTAAATCTACAAAGAAAATAATTTTTCTTTTTGAGCCAATCCACCAGTTTCAAAAGAAGTGGCGCCACCTGTCAGAAAACTGGGTTCGGGAATATCTGGGATGAAACAATAAGCACCAAGAGGACGGAAAAGGAAGAACCTTTTTTTTTAATGAACTTGGTTGCATATGATATGGCACAATGGGCGCAAAAAGGACGTTGGAAGACCTCAGTCTAGGTCACTGCAGCTCAATGGAGTCAACAGAATCTTGCGTTATTGTTTGATTGAGTGCTTTCTTTCGGTTGAGCCCACGTTCGCGTATATTCGTACTAATACCAGCAGGACCCTAAACTTATTAAAAATGGTGAATGCAAAAAAAAAAAAAAAAAAAAGATTTATAAACTGATCTATCTTCAATAGACGGGCCCTATCAGTGGCGTTTATTTCTTTAGCTATTGTTTTACGCCCTCTCCTCTCTATCCGTTTGAAGTGCGATCATCTTGGCTTGTGAGAACCTTTTCTCGTTCTTGGTTTCTTCTTTTTTTTTTTTTTTTCTTCTCAAGGCTTCGCTGCGTTCTGCAAGCGGTATTCTTAATCACAAAAGCGGCTGATAAAACAATTGGATCCCGGCAGCACTGAACAGAGTCCAGGCACAAGCTCAAGGATAAAAAACAAACAAACAAAAAAAAACACACTCAAACTACCTCAACCCGTTGCGACAAAGTGAACGCGTCTGAAGTAGTCTGCACTGGCGTCTACTTTTTTTCCCTCTTGCTTTTCTGTCGCTTTTCTTTTTGCGCTCTTCTGGAGCAGTTTAGGGTACGCTCGTCTCAGAGTAAAGAGCCACTGTGCGTCTATACAGGTAAAGCCCCCCCCCCCCCCCCCCCCCTTCCAGGAGCAACACGGATGCACACCAGAAGGTCGTTCGGCTTGCACTAGTGTCTACCAATTAGCGATGAAACTAGGGCTGCGTCACGGTTAGGCAGGTAGTCGGCTCAACGACCCTGCGTCCCTTTTTGGGGGCTGGGAATGGTTAGGTGCCAGCCATATAACTCATATTGTGCAACCTGAACTTCGAAGCTTAAGGCACACATACACCGAAAGTTGGGTTGAATATCTTATTATGGTAAGATTCTACAAGATCGCTCAACAAGGTATATCTTTTGGCATTTTTTTTTTTTTTTTTTGAAAAGTTTGGGAAAATTACGTAAACATTTTATCTACAGTTGTCTACATTTTGTGACAAATCCATTTTTTCCCTTCGGGTAATTAAAATGTCATATGTTCTTCCCTTGGTCGCGCTTAGGTTATGCTTGCTCCTGCGTACCTCACCGCTTGGTCATAACTACGTCACCGGCTAGACAAAATTACGTCACCACCTGAAACGTGCGTCACGGTTTCATCATAATTACGCCACTGACTGGACGTAATACCGTCACCGCTTGTTCCTAATATTGCGTCACCGTCTGGTCATAAACACGTCACCGCTTAAACCCACCATTGTCATCCTGAGTTAAAATAACCTCAGCACCAGGTCAAAATTACGCCACCGCTAGGCAGGCGTGTACGTAACGCATTGCTGTAACGAGTTATTTCTACCTATTTACTTTTTGGTAACGAGCAACGTATATTGTTACTTTTTTTTTAGAAAAGGAACGTATAACGTACTAAGTTTCTATAACGGCCAAGTAACGAGTGAGAGTATTGAGTTACTTTTGAGGAGTAACGTGTACGAAAATATTTAAGCTGCCTCGCTTTAATTCTAACCTTAGTGTGCATCTTTTGCGACAAAGGGAGATGGTCAAACCGAAGAACAACTAAACAGTATGACAGTGCACCAACGTTTATCGCTGTACACGTCAGTCCAACTCTACAGTTGGGTATGTCTTTCACCCATGGCTAACAGAGTAAGGTTCGTTGGTTGAGCCTTCTGGAATCGTGAACAGACCGAATGTAAATCCGGAGGTTGTCAACGCGGGAAGGCACAAAACCCATTGTCAACTTCAAACGTTTAGAAGCAGAAAGAACAAGGGGGAGAGAGAGAGAGGAATCCCAAATTCACAATCTCTTGCTCAAGCAAGAGTTGGTGAATGTGGACGACTCTTCAGCGTCGCCGGAGATCTATTCTCAGTGAAGCGGGAAAAAATCACATGAAAAATTTCGCGAGGAAGCTACTGCTTAAAGGCCGCTGTACAAACGGGACGTTCTGCAGGGAAGAACCTTCTCTCCCGAAGCTGGAGACGGGGAGGGAAAGGGCCAGCGCTGGGTGGAAAGGGCGTCTAGAGAATGGGGATTAGCCTCGGGGCGAGCCATCCTCTCGAGAGGGAGTGGGGACGGAACAAAGCTGCCGTGGGTAGGGAGCCTTCATGTGCGCTTTGCTGGGGGTTCCGGCTACCAGGTGGAAGATAAGCTTGTCAAACGGCGACCTCGGATGCGAGGACGGGCACGTCAGAGAATTTGAAAATAGCTGCTTGATTAGCCGGAGGACCCAGTGCGGTCTACTGGCTCTAGAAGGTGACTCAGATGAAGAAACTCGTTCTGCTCCAAAACTCTAAAAGCATTCTGGAACGTGAACTCTTGACACAAATAAAAATAACACATGCATGAAAAACGACGAAGGCACCTAAGCTTTCTCCTATGATGTGAGAATGCGTGAGCATTACAGGCAGAGTTATGTTGGCGCAACTTGCAATAAAGAAAGAAAAAAAAAAGTTATGTTGGCGCAACTAGGCGCAACGAATAGCGCGCTAGTTTCACGATCAAGAGGGCCTAGCTTCGAAACCGGGCAGGGGATGGTTTTTTTCTCATGTTCTTTTTTTATTTCGCTTATTTTTTTTTGTTCGGTCACGTGACAATAAAAATCACATGAACAGAAATTTTTTTGGCCACGTCACCAGAGATTTTTTTTTCTCATTTCTCCTATTCTTCTGTCTTTTTTTCCCCCTTTTTTTCGGTTTACGCTCCCTTTTGCAAAACTCGTTGCACCAATTTCGCGTTACTTTGGCGTCAGCCAAATAATTTTATTTATGGAAGGGAATTCTGCCGTACTTATCTTATGTAACTATTACCAACCCTGGCTTGCAATACGCATAGAGAATTTCGTCCGGCAACCAGTTTGGGAATGACGAGGCCAAATTTGTGTTATAATTTTTTTGAGGTATAAGCATAATTTCGGCCTCGTTATCCGTCGGTCTCTAAGATTGGCTCGTCAAGTATCTTTCCGGAAAGAGTAGACGACTGGCATTGTTACAGTGCACGTGTGTCGACCAGAGTGAACATTGCTGAAGCGCCTCCAGTGTGATTTTGGCCGTAAATAACTGGAGGCCCCGGGCAAACCCACCCTATGTAGAAAAGTATCTACCTTTCTGGTTTCATAGAGAGCTATGAAAGGGACGAATCCCAGCCGAGTCAAACTACCGGCTTGCAAACGCAATCGTGTTGGCAATAGCTCTAAGGAGTTTGTATGACTCTCTCTGGCGGTGTGCAGAGGGTAAAGGTACGGAGGTAATATATGCTTTCGCCTAGTCACCTCGCAAATGGTTGGGTATTGGCTACAGAGATCCATTTCGCTTTGTTTTATCACCGGGATTATATCTTGATTTCTGTGTTCCTAATTTCACAGACAGAACGAAATCGCTTTTCTCATGTGGCGTCACGGCGGTGAGACAGAAATCAATCAGTGTACTGGAATTCGACGCTTGTGCTCGTTCTATAGCGCTTCTAAAAACCGTGCGATCACGGCTGTGCAACGTCAACAATGCATAAACTGCAGTTACTTGTACTCGTATTGCATCGTGAGGGAACGACTATGACTGGGTAAACAGGAATAGGGAGAATGGGTGCGTGTGATTTGTTGAAGTTCGAATCAACAAATCGAGCCTCAACTAATGCGATAGTATTGCATTCACTCAACCAGCTATATGAGTTTTCAGACGGTATATACCTTCCAAGTATGCGATTCGTGTTCTGCCAGTGGTATTTCAGCTAAATTAAAAAGCAAAATCCACGTTGAAAAAAAAAAAAAAGTTTACGGTGACTCGAGCCGCTTCCGCGCCGAATCATGTTTCACGTAAGCGTAATCTTGGGGTCGATGCACGACGAGGGGTCTTCAATCATAAAAATACTTTGATTACGATTATTGGCAACGCTAAAAATTTGAAAGCCAAGCAGTGAAGACAACGGTGTTCTCATAAATATTATATACATTTCATTTTACACTGTTTGAACACGCTGCCGTCGTTATGTTCTCGAATTATTGTCTAGCTTGTGGCGGACAGGGAAGTCTTGCAGGACTATATATGATAGGACCTACACTAAACCTGCCGCGCTGCGAAAAATGTTAGTCCAGTGCATACAAGCTTATTCAAGGCGGATGGAGCGTTGCGCATCCGGCAAAGTGCATTCAATCGCTGCCCGCGGCGTTTTTCTTTTTTTTTTTTTTTTTTTCGAGCAGCGAAATAATTTTTGGTCAAGCAGCAGGCCCCCTTTTCGGCGGGTTAGGCCGGATTAACGGAGGCGTCTCCTAATCCATTCTCCGTGTTGTCCCCTCGGGGAAGGGTGGTAAACAGGGGGGGCGGGCGGGCGGGCGGGCGGTGAAGGAAGGAAAGGAGGGCAGGGGAGGAGGAAACGCAGAAAAAGTGGAAAGCGCGAACTGTACGGCGGCCTTTAAGTGCAACAACTACCGAAAAGAAAACAATAAACCATGAAACAAAAGCAGTTGTGGATTTGGTCGTCAAAGTAACGAGAAAGGTAACTCGCTACTTTTGGTGTAAAGCAACGCGTTTCATTTGAGAATTGTTAAAAAAGTAACGTAATTAGTAACTTTTTGCGGTAATGTGTACATGTCTGTGGCTTGGCCAATATCTACTCCGCTATAACCTCACCGTTTGGTCATAATAACATCATTGTTTGAGCGCAACGCTTGAGTCACCACTAGCTCCTTATCCCGCCACCGTTTAGAAATAACACATTGATTGGTTGGTGCTAATTGCGTCACTTGTTGCTCCTAATTACATCCACAATTCGTCATAACTATGTTCTCGCTTGAACATATACAATTCCGTCAAAGGTTTGAATTAGGTCACCGTTTGATAATAGTTAAGTAGTTCTTTCTAACTGCGCCACTGTTGTTCGTAATTAAGTAACCGCTACGTCGCGCTCACATCCCCGACTGGATAGAAGTGCGCCACTGCTTGGTGCTAATTAAGGGACTTCTTTGCCCTAATTACATCACTGCGTGTTCCTACAGTCATTGTCGGCTTAAAGTGCACTCAGGTGCCTTTTGAAGAAGTTTGGTTTTTATGGCCTATTTTTCGTTGGGCTTCAATAAAAAAAAAACAATGACCAGTTCTAAGATAGCAATACGTCTTAGCATACTCAGAGGAATGGAAATTAAATACACAGGCACAAATTTTCTCTTGGGATCGAGAGATTGGGGAGGGGGGGGAGTGTTCCTCGTGGGTTCCCACCACCTCCATAAATATTTAACCAATGAAAATAGTAGTAAATTGTGTGGAACCTCCGAACGTTACTGTTACTAATATCTTCAGGCGCGTTGTGCATTATGTTTTGACATAAACGTCTACTTTTTTTAATGTAGAATGCAGCAACTAGTGTTTGAAAGCTTTGTCCGATGGCGTCCCGGTGTCTGCTCCAAGGCGCAGAATGAGAGGCCGTGTCGCGATTTTTTATTCGATTTTTAATAGAAAAATTTACCACCCATAAGTGTTATTTCGTTTTTTTTTCTTGGATTTCATAAATTAAGTTATCTCCATAAATAGACGATCTCAGAATTCACTTGAGTGCTTCTTTAAATTAACCGTGCAAAGCGTTTCGGGCCATTTTTTTTTTTTTTTTTTTTTTTTTTGCACCGCACTTGCTTGGATTGGTGGGCGGGACTCTAGCAACACATTATAAATAAAAAAAAATATATGATGTGTTTTGAACATATTAGGTGAAAGAAGTTAAGAATTTTTAGCGCATTTTTTATTGGTGATTTGAACCAATAAAGAACCAAAACGACAAGATCGTGCAACAACCCTACGCGATCTTTCTAATTGTTGGAATTACCATCCAGTTATGAAAATGTGAACGCCCCACCGATTTACGGCTGTTCCAAGCAAAGAATCACGCGCTTCAATCGTGCCTCTAGGAATCTATGTCGTCATTATCCGACGCTCTCAACCAGCGTCGTTACTGAACGCTCGTCTTTGACACTCATAGGCACGCCTTTGCGAAGCAGCATTTGGTTTTCTTCGTCCTTTTGCAGTGCCCCTTTAAGAAACCAAAGAAACACTTCTCGCTTCTCGTCTGGTGGTTCGTTCTCCGGACTTTTCGTCCGCTAATGCACCAATCCTGCAGGTGCCCGACCGATAACAAGATGTTCGAGCCGCAACGCGCCCTGTGTCTCTTACGCACTGAATGACCTCCTTTATACGCCACCCTTTTGCAGTGTTGTACAGAACGGCACGTTCAAGGAACGACGTTCTTGGAACACGTTCCTTTCGGGAGGAGCAGAGAAAGGCCGCCGTTCCATCTTGCAGGGGTGGAACTTGAATGGGAACACGTTACGATTTCGAGGAAACGGCAGGGAACGACGTTCTTTTAGAGCGCAGCTCTTAGGCGCCCGTTTCCGGCTTGATCGGCGTCAGGTTACTCTCACGAGGGTTACGAGGATTACTCTCACGAGGGTTACCCTCGTAACCCTTGTGAGAGTAACCCTGGTAACCCTCGTAACCCTCACGAAGGTTACGAGGGTTGCTCTTACGAGGGTCACGAGGGATACCCTCACGCGGGTTATGAGAGTTACCCTTACGAGGGTCACGAGTGTTGCCTTCACGAGAGTTACTAGGGTTACCCTCACGAGGGTTACCCTCACGAGGGTCATGAGGGTTACCCCCTGAGGTCACGTGACCCCCCTGAGGTTATGTGACACCCTGATGTCACGTGACCTCAGGGAGTCACCTATCTCTCAGTACCCTTCCATCCTATCCTTCAGTACCCTTCTATCCTCCTCCTCAAGAGCTGCGCTCTAATCCGGCATTACAGGGAGCTGTAAACGGGTTTCATTTTTATTATTTTTTTTATTGTCTATTTATCTTCAATTTAACCTGAATTTAGTACGCATTTAGGTTTTTTTTATCTTCTAATATTTCAACCTTCGACTTAGAGGGAGAGCGAAGTGTCCGAGAGATAGTCGAAAACAAAGAGGTGGAACGAATGTGATCAAGGCCACTTGACACGCAGTTCGAAGTGTATATTTTCACTCGCTTGCTTTTTTTTTATCTCCGGATGATCCAGCGCAACATTTTATGAAAATACCCAAATGTAACGTTAAGCGAACGACACGTACCAATCCTCGACAAAAGTAACGGAAACACATTCTTTCTGAACCACTGGAATGTTTAACGGGAACTCGTTCTAACCGAACACAGCAAACCGCTGCTGTGTTCGGCGTACCGCACTGCCGGAGTCTTTGAAGCATGCTTTTAAGCGCGCGCCCTGCGTTCATGGTACCACCCGGGCGCGCGCTTAAAAGCATGCCTGAAAGGCTCCGGTAGTGCGGGAAGCGGAGCACGGCAACGGTTTGCTAAAGGTCCCTATTGAGAAGGAACCAGCTTCTGTTCCTGTTTCGGAGGAACGTGTGCTGCGCTGCTTTTTCGTCTTAGTTCTGTGTCTGCTTGGACGCAATGCCGTCAAGCCTTGGTTCGAATGACTTCACCGATTGGTCGCTCCTAGCTAATCTGTGTTACTAATTGTGTTCCGGCCTTCTTTGGTAATGACATAGGGCGGTAGAGCTCACCCAGAAGACCGGCGGGGTACTCCTGCGGCGCCAGTCCCGGATGCGCCCCAATCACGGACTGCGTGACGATCCAGACGTAGTTCTTGCTCGTCATGCCCAACTGGCCAACTGCGGCGAACACTTCGCGGGAGTCCTCCTTGCTGGCGAAGAGGAGCAGGACCCGGGCCTCCCCCGTGGCCACGGGCTCCAGCTGGGAACGGAACTCCTGGCGCGTGTGGCCCCGGAGGGTATACACGTCCAGGACAGAGAACCTGCAACGAAAAGTTGTCACCACACTGTTTGCCATAACCGAAAGTCAGGCTGTCACTACGCTGCTTGCCATAACCTAAAGTCAAGTTGTCACTAACTTGCTTGCCATTGCCTAAAGTCAAGTTGTCACTACCCTCCTCGCCATAACCTAAAGCAAGATCGCCACTATTCTGCTTACCATAACATAAATTGGGGCCGTCACTACCTTGATTGCCATAAACTAAAGCGAGGTTGTCACTTCCCTGCTTGCCATAACCTAAAATCAGGTTGTCACTACCCTGGTTGTCATAACCTAAAGCCAGGATATCCTGCTTGCCATAACCTAAAGGCAGGTTGTCGCTACCCTGTTTGCCATAACCTAAAGCCAAGTTGTCACTGCCCTGATTGACAGAACCCAAAGCCAGGTTGTCACTACCCTGCTCGCTTGAACCTAAAGCCACTAATCTACGCTTAGAATACAGGCACTTAATTTCCCGATTTTTATGCGGCCGTGCCATTTTGGTGATTAGTGCGGAGCGGTCTCAAAGACACCTTCTAAAAGTCCATCAAGCAAGTCCCGCCGCCATATTTTGACGTGATTGAACCCGAGTTCGCGCCGATTGCTGACTCAGCACTCGTGACCAATGCATGTTCAAAGCGCATATGCGCCAAATAGGGTGGCCTCGGATGATCCACGCAGCAGTTGGTGGAGGGCGCACAGTTTCCAAAAAGGGCCTATTGGCAATCGAAACGAATCGTAAATGGGACTTCGTGAGCTTTAGATGGCTTGTCAAGATAATCAGGCAATATTGTTCTGCTCTGTCACGGGCCGGCTGTAACATTTACGGAGGACGGAAAAGCGTTTTCTAGAATTTTCAGGTAAAGCGTTAGATAACTTGCAACGACGATTCTAAACATCAATATTACTGAGATGACATTACACCGAAGCGTGACTTGTTTAGTGACGCTACGGCAACCCTCAGAAAGCTGAGTTATCTTCCTGACAATCGCCCAGGTGGAGGGGCGGGGGGGGGGGGGGGGGGGGGGAGTAGGGGGGATATAGAGTGCTTGCGGCCTGAATATCCATCGAGACGGAAGATCAAACGAGTCGAGAGATCCAATTGGTCACGTGACAGGCGAGACGGAATATCCATCCAGAGGGAATGTCCAATTGGGACGGAATGTTTTACAAGTTCGAATGTCCAACGAGACGGAAGATCCAACCAGGCATGACTGTCTACCGTGACTGAATATCCATCGAGATGGAAGATCCAACCAGACCTGAAATTCCACCGCGACTGAATATCCAACGAGACGGAATATCCAACCAGGTCTGAACGTTTACTGAGGCTGGATATTCAATGTGTTATGTTTATTTAATTCCCGTAATTTATCGAGCATACTGCTCCCGAACAAAAATTGATAAGCGAGGGTCTTTCTTTTTATTGCACATTTTTGTATCCTATGTGAAAGGGCTTGCTGGAATGCTCCAAATTATATTTAACAGTGTAAATATCACATAACATACGTAATCTCCATGCCAGAAAATTTGGGGAAAGAGTTATTATTATTATTTTGTTAAACCACCAAGGAACGGAATGCGCTGCCAAGTGAAATTGTTTGTGCCGCAAATGCGTAAATTTTTTCTTTTTTAAAATTTGTTTGCCCTCTGCGATAATGCATGATACAGGCGCCGCAGGCTCAAAATAAATAAATGATAAAGATAAAAAACAACAAAAGCAACCAAAGTCGTTTAGTGGCGCATGATGTGACTAACTGTGTCATGTTTTTCGCTGATCAAGTTGTCCTCTTTTCAAGACGTGGAGAAAGGTACCGAAAGCGGAAACCTTCTCCGTAATGTTTTTGTCTAAACAGCTGGTCTGGTATGCACGAATCACTGGTTGTTGGATGTGTTTCCATTTTATTCTCGAAGCCTAATTACTGCCATTGCCTTTTTTTTGTCTTTGCCACAAAATTTATTAATAAAGCAATAACCTACATTAAACATGGTTCTAAAATAAATATTGGGGGTCTTTTTGCAGTTCAGGCTCCGCGAAGTTCTACGTCTTTTTTTAAATATTTTTCAGCAGTTAAAAATGGTCCGCAAAATTAATGAAAGTAAACATTGATAAGGTCTTCTTCGGTTAACAGAAGCATGAAAAAAAAAGGGCATATAGAACCGTTCGGTTCTGCTGACATATTACGACGGTGGTAGACTTTTCAATAACCGGGGTAGTCACGTTTAATTGAAAGCGCAACAGCGGCGATACTTTACATCAGAGCAAGAACACCCTTCGAATACTTTGGTTCCCAGTCCCACAAATCGAATCTTCTTTTCTGCCCTGCGCGGGACATTAAAGGTTCTCGCTTCCTCCCCCTCTTGGGCGGGCAATCATTTTAAAATCTATCGGAGTCACGGGGCGTCCACCGTCCAATTGTCGGCTGGGGGCCGCCCAACACGCTCATTAGTAAGGACTATATTTGGAACGGACACGGGGTGACACACCCGTAACTTCGGCAGTACAAACGGCTAGAGCCTACTCGGCGCCACGCCAAGCCCATTCAGGGAGCTATCTCACAGCTTCGTAGTTCCGCCCATCCTATACTCCGTTCACCCCAAACTTGAGACTGCGGTGGAAGCTACGTACTACGCCTCTCTTTGCCACATCATCACGCTCCTGCTTATACCCACGCAGAGAGCCGCGTCAGGTGATAAGAGGGAGGCGGCTGATTGGTCCGCCAGGCACGTAGCTCCCACTGCAGTCTTGGCCGCCGTCTGAATCAAGCACCCAGCCAAGGTGCCTCGGGAAAGGTCAAAAAGGGTTGGTAGAGGAGGCACCGGGGAGGCAACGACTCCCGAATTCCCCCGACAACCCCAAAACGCAGACCCCGGCGGGAGGAAGCTATGTAACCCCCGACACGCGCGTAAGCCGGCGAAGGCCACACGAATAGGGTGTATTCACTGGCGGCCATATCCGTGTGTGCTAATGCTCAGCACGTGCTGATGGCTAGCTTCCACAGTTATTTTGCAACGTGCACCCCGCACCATCAAGATTGCCGGTCTTGGCAGCCTATTAATGTCAGCTCGTTCTGAGCATGCGCTCTAAACAGTGACCTCAAATATGGCGGCCAGTGAATACGCCCTATAGGATGGCTTACATAAGAATAAACAAATTAAATCCAATCACAATGATTTATAAGCCGTTAAGCAATCTCAAAATTGTGTTGATATTATGAATGCAGCCAGGTTCGGTGTGTCTGACTACCTGAATCTACTTGCAGGCTACGGGTTAGAACATGTAATTAATGATTACACTAGGGAAGAATGTTTAGGAACGCGCCTTACGCGTTCTTGTATTGATCATGTCATTGTTAGAGGCAGCGATCTCAAGTTAATTTCAGGGGTGGTTAAGCAAAAAGTTGCCGATCACTATTTTGTAGCGCTGACTATATTGGGAGTAAATTCGGGGGTAAAAGAACAGACGGTCTATAAACGCATTCTAGACAATAGCAGAATAGACAAAATGATAAGTGCATATAATTGGGGGTCACTATTGGAATACGACCATATTACTGCTTATCAAAGGTTCAGTGACAAGATGGGGTCCATTTATCAGCAGTGTTGGAAAACAGTGAAACTGAAACAAAGAAAACCAGATAATGTATGGATAAATGATGAAATCATGACGTTATGTCATGAAAAAGATAGGTTATGGAATATATGTAAGGGAAACCCAGACAATACTCAAATAAGAGCAGAATTTCGAAAGTTACGTAATAAGGTAACCGCGAAAATAAGACTAGCAAAAAAGTTTTATTACACTAATAGATTTCAGAAGTGCCAGGGAAACCTAAAGAAGACGTGGGACTTGATCAACCTCATCACCGGCTCAAAAAGGAAGCGAACAATTGATGAAACAATTGAAAAGGCTTTTGGAGGTAACGACATGGTCTCATTGTGTAATTTATTTAACGAATCTTTTACTCAAAGGGTAACTGATCTTAGAAAAAGGATAAAATATCAAAGGGGAGGACGAGAGGATTACGACGGTAGTTTGCACTCTGCATACTTACCACAGATGACAGAAATAGACCTTGAAGATGTAATAAAAAATATGTCACTGACAAAACCTGCGGGGATTGATAAAATACGCTTAAGGGATATTCAACATAATTTTTGTAAGCTAAAATTAGTTTTATTAAAAATAATAAACGACAGTTTTTTAACGGGGCATGTCCCGGTAGAGTTAAAAACCGCTATAGTTAGACCGTTACACAAAAATGGCGACAGAAAGGACGTTTCAAATTACAGACCTATTTCCATATTACCAGTTATTGCACAGATTATGGAAAAATGGATATTCAATGTAATGACTGCATATTGTGAAAAGTATGATTTAATACGCTCATCCCAGTACGGATTTCGTAAGAATAAGAGCACTGAACTTTTGCTGCAAGATTTTACAGATTATGTCAGTTTCAGTCTAGACAAGAATCATTTTGCGTTAGCCCTTTTTCTCGATTTGACAAAAGCTTTTGAAACAATCGATCATGAAAAACTTTTGTTAAAGCTAAGAAATATGGGTTTTAGGGGGCCTTTTTATACATTTTTGCAGGATTACATTACAGATAGATATCAACTGGTTAAAATAAGAGACTGCAGAAGTAATGTAATACGAATTAAATCGGGAGTACCACAGGGATCAACAATAGGACCTTTACTGTTTAATATTTACGTAAATCAAATTGGAGCACTATCTCTTGCATCTCGAGTGTATCAATATGCAGATGATACAGCCCTGGTACTAGAACATAGCGATGAAACAAGCGCACTTTCAACTTTTCAGAAAGATATCGAATTATTAATGACATGGTTTTCTAACAATTATATTTTTGTTAATTCTAGTAAAACTAAGTTGATGTGCTTTCATAGTCCGTACAAACATGTTAACCTGTCGACTCCACTGTTTCTTCATTCAGATAGTTGCAAAACTTGTAGCTGCGTACCTTTAGATTATGTTCTAACAACCAAATATTTAGGAATTCATCTGGATGCAAATCTTTTATGGAATGATCATGTAGAATATATCATAAAAAAAATGAGAACCGTATCAGCCTATTTGTACAGGTTACGTAGTGTTTCGAACGTTTCTCTGAGAAAGAGGGTATATAACGCACTGGGTGAGTCTATCCTACGTTATGGAATCTCGCTATACGGAATGTGTTCCAACTATAAAAAATCAAAAATCGATAATATCCTCTATAAAATTGCTTGTAATATCACATATGGGACAATGTACGAAGAAGTAGAGAAAAATAAGAAATTGAATGCAGCGGGAGTGTTAACTACTGAGAGATTGCACTGTTATGTAATTTTAGTGAAACATTACTTCAGGAGTGATTTTAAAATTCCTTTAACAAAGGAACGAATTTTGAGGCGAACAGAAAAGTTCATTCTTCCTAGAATTTATACTAAATATGGAAAGAATGCAAGGTCATACTATGTTCCTTTTTATTTTAATAAGTTACCAGAAGAGCTTCATAACCTGGATTCCCTAAAAAGACTAAAACAAGACCTGAGAGAATGGTGCTGCCTGACGATAGGTGACTGAAATGGACCACGTTTTTCCCTTGTTCTCTTGTCGGGTATAGTTCTCTTTGTTTTGGGTTTGTTTAGTTACATGCAAAAAATGCATGCTTTGTTATAACTATGTAAGCAACCTGTTGGATGCCAGGTCCCGCCGACAAGCATACCCATGCTTTTGCGGGCCGGTCTATGTACTGTGTTGAAAACGGGACAATAAAATATTTATTATTATTATTATTATTATTATTATCATAAAAGCTAAGTTTAACCAACCTCAATCCGCCTGAGCAAGCAGCATTTTTTAAAGGAAATTTGAAGATCTGCCAGCTCGAAATACGTAAACGATGCTAAACGCATTGCCCAAATCAGGTATCCACTTGGTCACGTGGCGGGCGAGGCGAATATCTATCGAAAAATAATGCCCAACTGAGACGGAATGTTCAACGAGTCTGAATATCCACTAGTGGATCTTTCGTCTCGTTAGATCTTTTGACTCGTTGGATATTCAGGCTCTGAGTCGATATAGAGGGTGTATTTCTTTTTAGGAGTTACAGATTTGTTTTCAGAATGCCGTGAAATCTATTATACTGCTTTCACTGCAGATAAGTTATACGGCCAGAAGAACCTAACATACACCAGCTCAACTTTCTGACGTCACACTACTGCGATTTACTTATTTATTGCAGTACCCTCAGGGCCCGAGGGCATTACAGAGGGAAGGGGCAAGTAACAAAAGATAATACAAAAATGAAAATAAATACAAAAATTTTACAAGAGAAAAATCACTCAGGGTGTCAGCTGACAAGAATGGCTGGTTATTGCAGTTCTGAAAAAATCAATTGATGATATACAGGGTGTCACAAAAGAAAATTTACACTGTCTTTTTTACCGCAAAAATAAACTAGGCATCGCCGAACGCTCGTTCTCCGCCCAAAGGTAGAGCTAGAGGTCACAACCAGGTGCTAAAGTTTCAGCCCGATCCGATAATTAATCAAAAGTTATAAGTGATTTTCTGAAAATTTCAATCGGAAAATGGAGCCCATTTTTGCCTGTTTTCGGTTTCTGGTGCCATAGAGCCCCATGTGTTCGAAAACTCCGTCGGCCGCCATTTTTCCCATTAAAATTTTCAGAAAATCATTTATAACTTTTGATTAAGTTATCGGATCGGGCTGAAACTTTGGCATCTGGTTGTGACCTC